CTGCCTGTTATCTACTTTTTTAAAGATATTTTTATGTTGATAATAATGATTATTTATGTGGAATGAAAATGTAAAACATGATAAACAAGATCAACAAGGAAAGGCGGCGTTTAATGAACGCAACCCCCTCACGATCCAGCAACAAGAGCCAGTGGCAAGGAGCCCAGGAGGACCCCGAGTAAAAACAGGACAGGGCAAAAGAAAGAGCATGGGCAGGTTAATCACTAGAAAGATACATAAGAAAATATAATTAGTAACTGATAAGGAACTGATAAGGAACTCCTGTAAGTCCTGTTATAATTGTTTTTATGTCAATTAATTCTTGTGCGGAGGACAAGAGCTTGACTCGAAGGGATCTTCCGGGATTTCGTAGTTAAAACTTTGTGATTTTTTCGGCAATAAGGGTACGAGAATATAATTTTGAAGTATATATATCATCAACACCAGTGGTTTCTAAATTAAAATGTATTTAAAATGTTTAATCACACCCTTAATTTTTTATTTTTTATAGCGCTTTTGTATGTGTTTACCGCGTACAGCCTCCTGGGGTGCACTTAAATGTTTAACTGAAAACAAACGTTTTCATTGGTTATCAAGTTCGCTGTTTACATTTTAGCGACAGGTACCATTTTAAGGTTTTTTTAGGTAGTTTAAGTTATTTTTTGTCATTTTATGATTATTTTAAGGACAATGTATGGTTATTAACAACTAATGTACATGCCAGTGGGGGAATTTTCATGTTGCAGTAAAAAATGAAAATAGATCAGTTCGATTTCCGACACAGTTTTGATACTAACTGGTTGAGACAAACAGACGGACATTTATGAAAAAGCAGATTATAAAATCGGTCGGTCTTGCAGTCGAATTATTAAGACTAGTTGCACCTGCGAGACATTCTAACCGGGGCGTATATGTAGTATTTTCATTTTGAACGTTTGTAGGATTGCTTTTCAAAAAAACGTGAGGTTAATGACCGAGTCTGCAATTATCATGTAATCTTGCTCAATCCAGATATTTATATATATGTATGCAGTTGCTGTCAATTTAAGATTTTTTTCATTTCTCCAAAAGAGAGAAAATAAGAATCCCTACAGAACGCCTAACACGGCAAAATTGAAATGTTTCAGGCTCTGTTTGATTGAGCCTATTCCTATTTATGGACGGTACTGCCAAGTGCAAACCACCGTCCACGCCCCCTAGCACCGGCTTAAGCAAAATTCAACATTTAATATGAACTGGTACAATTTTGAAACATCAACAGATGTGTTCATGTGGCGGTTATCATGGAACCGGCAATGTGACATGTAAGTGCCATTCCATGAAAAGCGGCATATGGTCCACAAGTAAACAATTATGTGCCCTAAGCGAGAAAACAATGGTCGGAACTAAAAAAAATGAAACTTTGAAAGGGGATCAGATGTTATGAAGCCTGTATATCACAGATAAGACGTCAAAAGACAAATTTCAAAAGCAGGCCACATATCATAGGGGTGATTTAACAGTATTCAAGTGAGGACTACTCGAACAACCTAACAAGAAAATAGCCGAATAGAAAGAATTAAAAAATCACAAGCACAACAATAATGTCGTGCTTTGAACGATCTTTAAGGATCGGAAATATAACATCTCTGATTAAATTTACGGAGCGACTACTATCCATTAGTTAAATGACAAAAGACGTATTGCCTTGATGTCAATTCAATTTATCATTACAAGGCCACTGTTCGCAACTTCAGATAAATTTATTCCAACCATATATCATTTTAAGATTCAATGTTTTATTCAATGTCACAATTTAACTGAGTTTGAAGTGAAACTTGCTGAAAAGGGCTGATATCTCGGAAGCAGTGAAAACAAAAATAATATATGAAACTTGCAGACTAAAAAAAACAAGAAAAAGATAACAAGCAATTATCATAGTATTGCAAGCAATCCATAAGTCCCCTACCGGTTAGAACCCCAGCAACATTCTGATAGGCCATTGGCCATTCAATTAAACCATTAAATGAATGAATGACATGAACTTCAATCTTTTGAGTTCTAAGTTTGTATATAACATAGTAATGTGCTAGTTTCCCTGCCAAGTAAGGAAATTATGTTTATACAACAGATAATCAAAAGGTCCAATTTTCTCAGGATAAATAAGTATAACAAATGTTTCAACTTTTCTCTATTTTAAGTAAATTTGTTGGAAAAAAAATCTTGTCATATAATAAAGATGTGGGAGTTTGGAGTAAATCCTAAGAGGAATGAAGAAGTTGGGAGTAAAAATACCAATTTCTCGAAAAAGTTCAAGGGGGGCATAATTCTGAAAATAGTTTTTCTTGAGTACTGAACCTTCTCACATATGTTGAGTGATAATAAGAAACATACATACAAATGTATAAAGCTTGAAGCAGATACATTAAGAAATAAAGAAGTTATTTAAAAAAAACATGTTTTTTCATGAAAATTCTAAGTTCAAGGGATGTAATTCTGATAATATTTGTGCTAGAGTTGAAAACCTTGTCACATATGATGTGGTTGATGACCAGAAGTTTGAAGTAAATACCTTAAGAAATAAAGAAGTTATAGTGAAAAAGCGTAAAAATAGAAACCAGATTTCTTAAAATTCACTGTATTTGTTGCCATAGCAACCAGAATTTTCAACATAGGAAGTAAAGAAAAAATGTGCATAATTTCCAGACTGCCATCTACCAATATTTAAAGTTTCATAAAAATATTTTCAGTACTTTTTACGTTATCACTGGCTCCAGTTTATGTGTTAAATTTGCCATATTTTCAGTTCATTTGTTGCCATAGCAACCAGAATTTTCAACATAGGAAGAAAAGAAAAAGATGTGCAAAATCTCCATACTGCCATCCATCCATATATGAAGTTTCATAAAAATATTTTCAGTTCTTTTGGCGTTATCACTGGATCCAGTTTATGTGTAAAATTTACCATATTTTCAGTCTATTTGTTGCTATAGCAACCAGAATAATCAACATACTATTAGGAAGAAAAGAAAAAAACGTGCATAATTTCCATACTGCCGTCTATCCATATATCAAGTTTCATAAAAATATTTTCAGTTCTTTTGGCGTTATCACTGGATCAAGTTTATGTGTAAAATTTGCCATATTTTCAGTCTATTTGTTGCTATAGCAACCAGAATATTCAACATAGGAAGAACAGAAAAAAACGTGCATAATCTCAAGACTGCCGTCTATACATATATCAAGTTTCATAAAAATATTTTCAGTTCTTTTGGCGTTATCACTGGATCCAGTTTATGTGTAAAATTTGCCATATTTTCAGTCTATTTGTTGCTAACGCAACCAGAATATTCAACATAGGAAGAAAAGAAAAAAACGTGCATAATCTTCATACTGCCGTCTATCCATATATCAAGTTTCATAAAAATATTTTCAGTACTTTTTGCGTTATCGCGGGATCCAGTTTTGTGGACGAACGGACTGACAGATGGACGGAGGGTAAACCTAAAGTCCCCTTCGGTAAACCGGTAGGGGACTTAAAAGGCAAAGGCAACGTTCATTGCGACTGTTGATCAGAGATAATGTTAAGGGTAAAATATCTCAGGCCCTGGTATCGGCTCAAGCGGTATACAATCTTCATCACCGGCGTGCTCGGATCAATTATTCCGTAGGACCAGAAAAAGTAACAAAACTAAAATAAAGTTTATTAGTCCCCTACCGGTTTACCGGAGGGGACTTTAGGTTTACCCCCCGTCCGTCTGTCCGTCCGTCTGTCCGTCTGAATGTCAGTCCGTCCGTCCACAAAACTGGATCCTGCGATAACTTGAAAAGTACTGAAAATATTTTTATGAAACTTGGTATATGGATAAATGGCAGTATGGAGATTATGCACGTCTTTTTCTTTTCTTCCTATGTTAAAAATTCTGGTTGCTATGGCAACAAATAGGCTGAAAATATGGCAAATTTTACACATAAACTGGATCCAGTGATAACGCAAAAAGTACTGGAAATATTTTTATGAAACTTGACATATGGGTAGATGGTAGTCTTGAGATTATGCACGTTTTTTTCTGTTCTTTCTATTTTGAAAATTCTGGTTGCTATGGCAACAAATAGGCTGAAGATATGGCAAATTTTACACATAAACTGGATCCAGTGATAACGCAAAAAGTACTGGAAATATTTTTATGAAACTTGACATATGGGTAGATGGCAGTCTTGAGATTATGCACGTCTTTTTCTTTTCTTCCTATGTTGAAAATTCTGGTTGCTATGGCAACACATAGGCTGAAAATATGGCAAATTTTACACATAAACTAAATCCAGTAATAACTCAAAAAGTACTGGAAATATCTTTATGAAACTTGACATATGGGTAAATAGCAGTCTTGAAATTATGCATGTCTTATGTGTTCTTCCTATTTTGAAAAAAATATCAGTTGCCTTGGCAACAAATAGGCTTAAAACATGGAAAATATAACAATATTGGTGATTAGTCAAAAAGAGCTGAAATTTTTTATGAAATTGCATCTTTAATTAAAGAGTTATCTCCTCTTTAAGAATTTTGCTTTTGAAATGTTATATTTTGGTAACAGGGATGTTTCAAATATTAACTTTAGAGTGTCTTTCAGTCCGTCTGTCTGTCTGTTAAAAAAAACTGTTTCCTATGATCACTTTTAAAGAACTTTTCCAACAAATTTACTTAAAATAGAGAAAAATTGAAACATTAGTGAATGGCCAATGGCCCTTCAGAATGTTGATGGGGTTCTAACCGGTAGGGGACTTATGGATTGCTTGCAATACTATGATAATTGCTTGTTCTAATTGTTCCAATCAAATGTCATATCAGATAATTTATGTAAATGGTACAATCGAATTTCAAAACAAGTGTTAAAAACTTTATTGTTACACAATCGGAAAAACAGAAGGCCCGAAGCGTGCATTATTCTACATTCTAACACCCACGTGATTTTGTCACTATAGACAAAGACACCAATATCTTTTATTCAGTCGTTAACGCTGTACAGTATTGTTTACGCGACGTCACAATGTAGCGCCAAACAGCACGTGCAAAACAATCAAATCAAGTACGCTATTTTAATGTCGCAAACGAGTTAAGTTTTACATTTATTTCACTTTCAAACTTTTTGTTTCGCTTAAAAAATTATAGTGTGAAATAAAATAAACAAACAAAGTTTCGTCAACGTTTTCAAAATTCGTTATTCTCAAAATGTTTCTACACACGGAAGATTTAACGACAGTTTTTTTTAAACCCACTGGAACAGCCTTTAAAGAACGTTTCTATGGGAAACTCTGAGGCGAGAACAAATTTAACCACCAAACAAAAAGTCCAACTTTATAATTAAGAAATAACATCGTCCTGAGAGGTGTATATCGGCTATTTAACACCGGTTTGGAGTTTTGATGCGTAGGAATTGACGCATCAAAACGATTTTCGCCGATTTTCGTATAACGCTGTTCGATTTTCGCATCCTACTGTTGCGAAGATATATAAATTATTAAACAAAAGAAATAATAAGAAAAAAAACGTTATTTTATCAAGTTTTGAACATTAAAAACTTACGTCGTATTGTGTTTACATCAGTACCCCATTTATCATTCCTGTATGTATGAAATAAACACGACAGCTTGTTTATGAATGAGTTGTTTACTTAGGATGACGTCATTACGCTGCTTACGGATTGGCGCCGTTTTGTCAAAATATTTATTAACTTATATGGATCTAATATATGGCGTTAGTGTATGTGAGATATTATTTCGGTATTGTATGGAAAGAAAACATTATACGAACTGAAAATATAAATGAAAATGCTTTTTATTGTTGCTTTAAAATGCTTTATAAACTATATAATCGAGGGTGAAAACATAATAGCGCATGTACAAGTAGTCCCGTACCGGTGTTTATTGACAGTTTAACACCAGTTTTTTTCCTTCTTTGTCTATATTGACAAAATCACGTGAGAATAATAATTATATTTTTTCTTGACGTGTTAGAATGGAAATAGATATTAATTCAATGCACGTTTTTCGTTCAAATGCTTTGTAATTAATCACTCAGGCCTATCGGCCTTCGTGATTATATTACTACGCATTTGAACTCAAATCGTGCATTATTCTACAACAATGCACTCAGAATTGATATCTATTTCCTAATTTAACCCGTTACATTTATAGTGTGATAAGCCTTTAGGAAATTTGGTTACATCTCTCCGGCTGAGGACTTGGATGTAATTCCTTCACACAAAAGTGCCATCTACTGTGTAGCCCACCTAAATTGTAACCATAAATAAAATTGTAACCAGCATTTACTCTATAATACACAACTGGGTAATGGTAGTCATGACGCTTAATGTTATTGCGTTTATGGTCACTTGACCATCTGCGTTGGATCTGGTAGTTGCATTGTTCGTTTAATAAATTTACTTGTTCCAGAACAAACATAGCCTGCTTATGATTATCATCGTCATCTTTGGGCTCATTGCGGCTACAAAACCGGTTAGCATGCATAACGATTATATTACAATTCTCATTACCAGCGGTTGCAACAAAAACACTGCACCCAGAAAGCAAGGCTGTAACAAATAAAGAGCTTCTCTGTTGTACAAATGGCAAAAACGTATATGATATGGAGTTGCGTTCATCTAAAGGAAGAAGAACAGCTTTAGCGTTCGTGCCGAATAAAGTGTTTAGTCGTGTGCTCGGAACTACTTCTATTGTATACATTCCATGCAGTTCTCCATCAACTAAAACACATTCTACAGGTTCCCAGCAATCAAGAATCCACGTTTTATCGGTTGCTTTGTCGAAATGTCCTTTTTTGTGAACGAATCTTTGCATTTCCCTCCGACAACCATTCGCGTGATTGATGTTGTCACCTTGGAAATTAAATGTATTTGTTTGATGAAGTAGCTGCAAAAATTTGTTGACTACATTGGAGTCCACACCTTGTATAAGTGTCCGTGAATCTGAAGCAACACACAACATTAATTAATTTGCATTATTAATAAACATCTGTTATAACAAAATGAGAAGCAGTTTTCAGAGCGTACTCCTTCTATCAAATAACAGCTAAGTGAACTATTAACATGCACATTTTAGCCATAATAAGTTTTAGCTTTGGACTTTTTTGACGTACAGGGACAGAACTTAATTGTTCGCGATTTTTAACCATTTGGTGTAGATTTGTGCACCTTGTATGCCAAATATCAAATTATTATCTGGCCGGTATTTATTTTTCCTTAAATGGAAATTGATTCAATGCAATACTTTAAACAAAATTGGGTTACGATAGCACACTAAATCTTGATTTTTTATTTTTCTATTATTTTTTTTAGTATATATCTTTATTATATTTTTCCGTTTTAGGTATCATTGTTGATCCGTGTTAGATTTTGAACTACAGCGGAGACATTTTAACTATTGGTTACGTCTAACTTTTCGAAATACGCAAACAGTGAATTTACTTGTATTTAGAGGAGCCGTTTCAACTTCCTCAAAACCCAAAACAAATGTCTTTGCGTCAAATATAGGTTTAAAAGTTTCCGAGATGTATTTACCTCTATTAGTTTCACAAATGGATCCTCTAGCAACTGATATAATTCCACTGAGTAGAAATAACAGATAACCTAAAATGAAATATAAAAAAGATTTATTTAAAGAAGGTATTGATGATCGTTCTACCGAATTCATTTTCGATACTAGTAATGTCATTAGTCAATAATTCAAAATAAGTCAATAGGTGATATTAAGGGGAGCAGGCAATTTTTAAACTTTTTAATAAGTATTACAGAATGGAGAAAATAAGAGTCCCTAAAGAAAGCCCAACACGGCAAAATTGAAAATGTTGCAGGCTCGGTTTGATTGAGCCTGTTCATGGACGGTACTGTCAAGTGCAAATTAAACAGCCAACAAGGCATTACAATATACTCGTATTCTTCGCCAAACGTATTGTACTTCTTACAGAAAAAACAACAAAAATGCAATCTAAGATAACTTAGTGAACCAAAAAAAATCAGGCAAATCAATTTGACAGGTAATGATTTATTTTGCTCAAATGTCCTCCTGTCATTGTAGTTTCCGAGAAGACTTTTAAAGCAAAAAATATGATAAACAAGATCAACAAGGAAAGGCGGCGTTCAATGAACGCAACCCCCACATGACCCAGCAACAAGAACCAATGGCAAGGAGCCCAGGGGGACCCCAAACAAAAACAGGACAGGGCAAAGACAGAACACGGACAGGTTAATTATTAAATGATAATTAATTTGTAACTGATTAGGAATTCAAAGCAAGTCAATGTATCAAAGTAACTCTTCATAAACATTTGCCAATATTGAGAACAATTTAAATTCGGAGACATGATTTCAGAAACTATAACATGCTATATATCTTACATTTTGGTATGTAGTTAGTAAAGAGGATACTTTAATGTAAAAACCGAGTCTGCAATTTGATGTAATTTTTAATGCTTCGGAGTAATCACTTTTTCCAGATATTTATACATCACAACAATAGGTGCCAAGTGCTGTATAGTAGTCGTGCACAGTTTCATCGTACTTCACTTCAGTGTTGTTATATTTTCTAGTCCTTAGGGATCATTGAGTTTAGCGCTTTTAAATGTTGAGAATTGAATGCCGTTCAAGCCGGTGCTAGGGGCGTGAGGGATATTGCACTTTTTTCATTATCCCTCATGTACAGACTCAATCAAAGGTTCTGCATTTTTTTTTTGGTAATTTTACAGTTTTAATGCTTCTGAAAGATCACTTTTTTCCAAATATTACATGCAAATGTATGTTTCTAAACAGGTCAATGCAACAGAAGTGATCCAAGGGCTAAGGGAATTAACAAAACTACAGGACTTGTAAAAGGTGTTAAAAGACTATTGAACTATTTAACAATGTCATTAAAACAAAATCTGTATTGTGGACATATGTAACTTTTTCATAACAATAAGAAGATTCCAGTAAACATTTGAGGGTCATTCTGACTAATTTAAGTTTAACTGTCATTGCCATGTACTGTGTGATGCCAGAAATAGAATGCGTAGTTGCACAAACTAACATACTAAAAGTTATTAAAACTTGAGTGAAGCTCCTATTTCAACTTAAGGGGGCAGGGGACATATTCGAATGATGGCCCCGGTCAAATTTTTTAATAACTCAGACATGGTGTTTTGAAGGTACTGATAACTTCAGATATTTCTCTGTCATTGTAATTCTTTCTTGTTTGTGTGTAGGAAATGAGATATATTTTTGGGTTTTTACCCGAAACTAAGCATTTTGGTAGCTTTGTATGTATTTCTGACTCTCTGAATGGAGGTGAAAAAGTTAAAAATCAAGCTTTGACAGTTGGCGCCAAACAAGTAAGAAATTTCAGATAAATTTTGTGAAAAATCTAAACGTATGACAGACACTTTATTTGTCATTTCTGAAAATGCCATAGCTTGCACTGCGTGTTACTGATATTTTTAAAGGAATCGGGCAGATTCTGGAGTATGCTGCACCTTCATGAAGATTGCCTATATTGGTACATTTTAGGTGTGATTTTGGCTGGGTGGGGGTAAATATAAATTGCTGTCAGTCATTTTTTGAAGGAGCAATGCATGCAAACTATTATTTTCTTCAATGTATGTCATATATCATTGAATAATGCTGTGCAACTGGTTATCTGCCTGTGAAACAGATTTTGAAATATTTGGAATTGTGTTTCTGGTCACACTGAAATACATAATTTTTCATTTTAAGGTCCCTGCCCCCTTAAGGAAATTTTCAAATTTATAAAATGTGTTGGAATTGACCCAAATGTGCCCATAAACATTCCTTCTACATTTGTTAGTCAAAATTTGAAGTACCTGGTAGGATTTATCAAGTTATGTAGAGTAAGTAGACTGTCAAGTCAAGGGAGGTAATAAAAATTTGGAATTTTGGCAAACACTGTACTTTACAGAATGTGCACATTTATCCAGATTTAACAGTTTTATATTGTGCAAATTGACATAATAATGCATAATTGAGCACTTTTAATTGTTACAAATGTACATAATGTCATATAAGTCAACAGTGGTGTCTTTACTGCACTTTTAGGTGTATGCAAGAATGAATGGGGTCTGGTTTCCTGTGAAATTCATTTTGGGACATTAATTGTGGCTGTAATATTGTTTTTCTTGCTATTATCTCCTTCCAAAAGACTTTAAATACTCTGAAAATACTTTATGGTATTTAAATAAAGGTGGAATACAGAAAAATAACCATCTCACAGGTTCCTGGCACTTGATATTAAGTAAATCATATAACAGGCATGGTCATTGTACTAGTTACTTCCCCTGAAATAGGGTCTTTTTTAAATATTTGATTTAATACAAAGTAACCACAGTATTCACTTTTCGAAGTTAACGTTTAATGCGAAATACTCCATATTTTAAGAAAATAAAAGGAAACGCTTTAATGCGAATCACATAAAAAATCTTAAGGGGGCAGGGGACATATTCGAATGATGGCCCCGGTCAAATTTTTTAATAACTCAGACATGGTGTTTTGAAGGTACTGATAACTTCTGATATTTCTCTGTCATTGTAATTCTTTCTTGTTTGTGTGTAGGAAATGAGATATATTTTTGGGTTTTTACCCGAAACTAAGCATTTTGGTAGCTTTGTATGTATTTCTGACTCTCTGAATGGAGGTGAAAAAGTTAAAAATCAAGCTTTGACAGTTGGCGCCAAACAAGTAAGAAATTTCAGATAAATTTTGTGAAAAATCTAAACGTATGACAGACACTTTATTTGTCATTTCTGAAAATGCCATAGCTTGCACTGCGTGTTACTGATATTTTTAAAGGAATCGGGCGGATTCTGGAGTATGCTGCACCTTCATGAAGATTGCCTATATTGGTACATTTTAGGTGTGATTTTGGCTGGGTGGGGGTAAATATAAATTGCTGTCAGTCATTTTTTGAAGGAGCAATGCATGCAAACTATTATTTTCTTCAATGTATGTCATATATCATTGAATAATGCTGTGCAACTGGTTATCTGCCTGTGAAACAGATTTTAAAATATTTGGAATTGTGTTTCTGGTCACACTGAAATACAAAATTTTTCATTTTAAGGTCCCCTGCCCCCTAATGAATTTACTAAGTGCTCCAAACATAAACCCTGCATCGACGAACAACGTCAGGTGAAGGCTTGTTGGTAAATTATTCCTACTGCCCAGCGTTTACGTTTCGAAAACACAACTAATCTTGCTACAAATTTATTAACAGTTGACAGAAGTATTAAGTTTTATTGATAAATAATGTTTCAATGCATATACTACTTATAAAATGTGAAAAGTGACAAAACACTCCCTGAATCATATCTTACGTACCAAGAAAGAAAATGTCAAGGAAAATATGAGTTGACAAATTTCATCTATTCAAACGACACTTGACATGTTATATAAAAGGAAGTCGCCAATAATGTTCAATAGCGTTATAAGGCAACAGATAACGCTTTAAGGGCTTCCCTTCTTAAACAATTAAACAATACTAAATAATTACATTGATTCTTTTGAGTTTAATATCATTGATGTCTTCAAAGTATGTCTGTTTTTTTGTTACATGTCGTGGTTGATATGTATATAAATTGTGGTTTCGCGCTGTCCCTATAAGGGCGAAATCGCAAAAACACGATACATTGACGCGAAAACACGATACAAGATCGCGAAAACACGGAGAAAAATATCACGTTATCGCGCTATTAATATCGTGGTTTCGCGTTTTCGTCCTCGATCGTCCATCGTGTTTTAGTGTTTTCGCCTTCGCGGTCAGTAGGGCGAAAACGCGAAAACATGATATTAATAGCGCGAAAACGCGATATTTTTCGCATCGTGTTTTTGCGACCTTGTATCGTGCTTTTGCGTTTTTGCCCTACTGACCGCGCAAGCGAAAACCCGATATTTTAATATCGCACTTTCGCCTTCCGTTTGGACATTCGTAAACATTGAAAACGAATTAGACTCGCGTATCAGGGCATTAATTTACCTGTTTTGTGGTGTCCCACACAATTTATCGCGATAGATTTTACATCGCTTTTCTCAGAAAATCACTTAAACTATATTCGTAATGCATTTGGTTGGCAGACTTGTGGCTGTTGCAATTGAAAAGGGGCTCAATTAAGCTCAGATGGTTTAAATTCATGTCGTGGTCAAAAATGGATGTTTTAATTGCGGAGATAGTTCTGCCAGAAAGTGACGAAATTAGCTACTGACAGACAAAAGCATGACTTTTACCCCCAAGAATAAGAATGCAAGCACAAATTTGCCTATTTCATTTCATAATATGTTTATCCAACCAAAATATTCAACTATATTTATCTCATTTTTATTTCAGTTTTAGAAAAATGTGATATTATGTCTTATACTTGAATTTAATATTTTGTCTTATTTCTCCATTAATTAACTAAATTTATCAACACCTATTGCAAATAGACATCACAAACCTGCATGCAAATCTAAACAGTGAAATGGAAATTAAGTTCATTTCCAGTTGAACTTCGTCAACACCAAAAGTACAGAAAAATGGTCTCCGAGCAAGCTGTTGCTCGCTTTTCACAGAAAATCATTTTAACTATGGTAGTGATGCATTTGATCTATAGAATAATGGCAGTTTCACTTAAAAACAGGCTAAAATAAGCTGAAATGGGCAAATTTCATGCCTAGATGCCAGACATGAATGCTAAATTGGGTGAGAATTCTACTAGTAAGTGACAAAATCAGCTGCTGAGAAACAAAATTGATATTTTAACCCGGCCAAAGAATCAAAATACAAGCATAAATTTGCCTGTTTTGTGTCATTATGTGTTTATTTATCAAAAAATATTCAACTAGTTTCAATTCTGAATTAAATTTTACGAAAATGTGATATTTTGTCTTTTAATTTGAGCCCAAAACATAAAGACAGGCATATTAAACATGCGATACAAAAACATAGTGTTTCGCGCTTGCGCCTTCGCGGTTGAGAGGGCGAAAACGCGAAATCACGATATGAGATCGCGAGAACACGATGCCTAAAATATCGCGTTTTTCGCGCCATTTACTTTTATTGCTCTACTGACTGCGAAGGCGAAAACACGATGGGAGATTGAGGCCCAAAAAGCGAAAAACACGATATTAATAGCGCGAAAACGCGATATTTTTCGCATCGTGTTTTCGCGATCTCTTATCGTGTTTTCGCTTTATCGCATCGTGTTTTCGCGTTAATGTGTCGTGTTTTCGCGATTTCGCCTTTAGGACAACAGCGCGAAACCGCGCTGGCCCTAACGGAACACTGTACTTTAATGTAAATAGAACAAGGAAGATATCACATAGATATCATTGTTTTATATAACGGAGTATATAATTGAGAGACAATTGTTTAGTGTTGTGGATGTGTGTATAAGAAGGAAGTAACAGGATGTGTGTATAAAAAGGAAGTAACTGTTGTTGAAATCTCTTCCTGCTTTATATAAAATTAAGGGGATAACAAAATTTCCATGAATAAAATGTAAGTAGCACGCCTCAAGATCCGTACTTGTAAGGCAAATGTTTTTTGAAATAAAATATTGTGAAGTGTACAAATGAAGTAATTTACACATTTTACAATGACCAAACAGATGTTAAAATAGGCAAAATAGCCCCTACTGCATTAGTCACGCAGTAGACCTATGATGATAGTTTTATTTTGTCAACATTTTGCGTTATTATTTTAAATGTACTCTCTAAAGTCGTTGTAAAAGTTGTTTATGCTAATAGGTTTAGCATTTAACCCATTTAACTCAGTATATCACTCATGACGTTGTGAACAAAACTTTGTCAAACTTTTTTTGGCCTACGTATTATTTTATGATTCCGTAAATGTCCTCAAATACAGTGTGTATTTGACCAAAGGTTGTATTTTGTACAGTATATTACTTGATTCAAACTCAATAACTGCGCAAAAAAAAAAGATTTCACCGCAATGATAACTCTTAGTTGTAACTTCTTTTGTTTTGCGCAGTAGTACGCGTAGCCGTTGAACGTCTAATGTCATTTTCTTTACGTTGGTCCATTTCTAATGCCTTAATAAAGATATTTATTATGCTTAAAGAAATGTTGTTGTTAATGTTTGTATGTGAATGTGCCATACATGTATATGATCATACAAAGATGTGATAAAACATTATTATGTTCGTGAGTTTTTGTGCACATTCATTTCTTAAGTATATAATAGAAGCCTGGCGATTTTCGCAAATTTTTCGCGCTGGTACATTCATGAATAATCTTGCGCAACGCTGTAAAATACGTAAACCGATTGTGCATCGGTGTCACATAATCCGAATTCTCTTATAAGTATGATGAATATGATTCACTTTGCGTTTCAAGACACGAGGTTATAAATTTTAGTACTGATCAAACAACGAACGAAGGTTCAATATATCGAATATAAATAAATAAATGCTGGATTTGCAAATTATAAAAGACTATAGATGTATTTTTACTATATCTATAACTTCATTAGAAAAGAAATTGTCAATGCAAATGATCATAGTATCGCTAATGTTTTACATGTGAAGTTGACCCTAAAATTCAGGTCGATTCTTACTATCACTATTAGTCTAGACTGGTATCAAAATGTAAAATCTAAAATATTCAAGGTAGGATATAGTAAAAACAAGACCGTTTAAACTGAAAAACATTCTTTAACAATAATTACAGAGTGCTGCCGTGTATTTCTATCATATCAACAATGCAGGGGTCAATATTTTTATATACGTTTTAGGCCTACAGATTTTTTCTTTATTTCATATTGACGCCTACAGTATGAAATAAACTGGGTTTGATTTAAGTATATATATATAAGTATTTTCTTGTCCAGATATGATATCATTATTTCGATATATCTTCAATCAACGTTGTCAGGATTTAGCACAACAGACCAAGCGTTGTAATTGAGGAAAACTCCCGATGGTGACAAAAATCGTTGACAATCTTACGTTACCCGGATACTGCGTGAACAAATGAAGAAAAGCCAAATACACTACCGCAACTTAGCGTATTATTTGTAAAGGAGAAACGTGTGTATAGAGCCAACCTAACAGTCATTCGAATAACAATACTATAATAACAATTCACTATTATGATGCAAAAGCATTGCCCTTGTAATATGATGAAGAAAAGGAAAAAGTCTTGAAAATGAATAACGTCGAAGAAACGTGAATTGATATCAGTAATAATTAAAACTGTAGCTCTGGAGCAGAAGAAGCAATGATAAAAACAGATACTAGTACACAAAACGACAAAAATGAGATTATTGACAACGTAGATAACGTACATTTGGTAGTTCCTCTGAATGAAGAATACATGTATAAATAAATATTCGCAATCAAATGGAAAAAAAAAACAAGAAAAAAACAAGCTTTATTATTCTAAATTTTTATAAAACAAAAGCTCTATAGAAGGCATTGACTAGATCAACAATATTAAAAACAAACCTGATTTATATTGTACAACCATTTTCACAATATCCGTCTGTGTTTCTCATTAAAAAATGATTTGAAATACTCTGAATTTGCTTACCGGATACGTGGTGTTTTCCGTTATACATTAAAGGCACTTCATGTCTCAGATATCCATATTTATTTATTCAATTCTTTAGAAAAGTTAAACATGTGTGAAATAATTTAAAAGTTGATTTAGAGCATGATAGATGTTTAACAGCTTGAGATAGAAGAGATGAATGTGCTGTAATGTGCCGTAAAAGTAGCAAACTATAAACAAAGTAGTATTTTGGTTCCATACCAAATACATATATGTATTGCTCATTCATACCATACTTATACTTATTTACTGTAATCACACAATCTGCCAACTAAGCAACTTAAACAAAGGTAGTTTATCTATATGGCAAATGAGTATTTTTTTTTTGGAAACCAAGATAACAAAAAAAGAAAGGATTTTTTTAGAAATAAAAATGATAGCATAAATAAGGCATAGTGAGCCTTTAAAGAACTTACTTCTTTGATCTTTAGCTTCCGGAAAGTAGTCATTATACTCAATATGTTTAAGCGGTCAATCATAAAGTTAAGTGGCACATTGTTTTCTTTCTAATAAACTTATTAGATAAGATTTATAAGTCACCGTCTTAAGAGGTGCTTTTAATGTTTGATATTATTACAATGGATTATTCTATAACATGACCATCTTCCTTTTTGTAACTATTTTCAAAGCGGTCTTCAGCTTTTAAATGCTTTTAAAACCCATTTAACTCAGTATATCACTCATGGCGTTGTGAACAAAACTTTGTCAAACTTTTTTGTGGCTCTACTCAGATACCTATCTGTGCCTGAAATAATACATAGAGGGGCACATGAGGTCTTCCTCCGTCAGCAAAGCTTGAATGTTTCCATATGATCTATACTGTGTTTCGAATGACGGAAAATATGTAGTGTTGTTTACATTATATACAAATGTATTGTATAATAATTTATATGTCCTAAGTTATTAGAGAGTAAATAATGACTGATTATCCATTAACTAACAGAATAGAAAGTCAGTAGCATCTGTATATGTTTGATTGAATTTGAATATCGAGACTAGTACAAATAGGTCAAAGTGGCTAAATTCGAGGCGCGTTTTTCCACCATATCTGTATTTGTGGAGACTAAAAATGATGTTGTTTCTTTTGTTTTGTTTTTTTTGTTTTTTTTGGATAACCCAATTAGCCGATTATTCAATTATTCATTTATATATAGATATTATAGATATAGATATTATTAAATTTATTCCGTAAAGGTGGGTAAGTTGTATATAGAAATTAAAGATTTTATCTGTAAGGATTTGTAGAAAATCATAATATTCTGAATAATTCTTGAGATTCAGGCACACTATATATTTTTTTATAGTTAATAATTAACCACATACTTATAAAACAAAACATGACACTCTCCTTCAAATTTACAAGTTTATTTTTGCAAGTTGGTTACAATAAAAGGCAAAACGAGCATTAAGGTTTCTATTTTTTATTAAGTAATATGTAATTTGCTCAAACACTTAATTTTCAATTATAACCTCAAGCTACGGAAGTTATTTAACTTAAATGTACACAAACGCTACAATTGAAAAGCAAAATTTCGACGTAATCACAATATGAGCCGTGTCACGACAAAACCAACATAATGGGTTTGCGACCAGCATAGATCCAGACCAGCCTGCGCATCCGCGCAGTCTGATCAGGATCCATGCTGTTCGCTTACCAACTCTATTACAAGTAGAGAAACTGATAGCGAACAGCATGGATCCTGATCAGACTGCGCGAATGCGCAGGCTGGTCTGGACCCATGCTGGTCGCAAACCCATTATGTTGGTTTTGTCGTGACGCGGCTCATATATAGTAACATTTATTGCCGTCTTTCATTGTTATGCCTTTTTTTATATACATGTATTCAATAAACATTAACATGCTTGGCCGACAGTGAGTGGCCTGTTTTCACCAGAAGAAAACCAGGCGAGCATGCACTTCCGTTCGGTCTGACCATACACCATAAAGCTGATAATTTTAATTTTCAAATCCTTAATTTTCACATTGACCGTTTCAGATTTACATTAATAGATCTGCTGTAGAATGGCAGTAGAAAACACAAATTACCCTGAAGATCGCTAGTTAGTGAGTGTATGTTACAACTGTCATGAGATACAAGAGTAGGCTAGGTTAATTACCATTTCAATAAGCTAATTAATGCACCTGTCATCATATAAGTGGGGATTGTACCGATAAGGCTTATAATCATAATTGCTACACTAATGGGCGACTGTCCGAAAGCGGCAGATTTCAGTCATGAATTATCGTATAATAAATATAAGGCGTAAGTTAAGCTCCCTAAATAAAGTCAATCAAATATTACATTCGGCAGTGTTATACGCACTCACTCAGGTTAATTATGTTAGATACGCAGTTGACATTATTTTTCTATACTTAAGTCATTTGTTAAAGACTTGTGAATTTGTTAAATACATTGTGTAAACATTTATATAATAGACATTAATATCTTTATTTATTTACTAAATAAAACATGCATAAGACGTTTAACTTGAACTTGTGTTGACCTATTAATATTGAATAATTCAGATCTGGGTGTTACACTACACTGCTAAATAAAACAGTTGGCTAAAGCTATATAGTTCACTGTATTGTGTAAGTCAGATCACAAGCTATGTTATCAATGGATTGTTGGTTCGATTCTTTGGAGAGGCAAAGTTTGTCCGTAATATTTGATCTCGGACATTGCGTCTAATTGCAATTTGTCTCTCACTGCTGATTCAGAGATCTTATTTGATTAGACCTTGGTCACTTATAAATGGTAATTACTGATAACTTAGCCAGAAAAGCCGGATTGGTGTATCGCACCTCGAAATGTGACCAAAATATGTGTTTAAATAATTTAATCAGAACAAGTTGTTTGTTTGTTTGGGCTTTACGTCACACCGACACAGTATAGGTCATATCGCGACGTTCCAGCTTTACTGATGGAAAAAGACCTCAGGTGCCCCTCCGTGCATTTTTTCAGGCACGAACGGGCACCTGAGTAGAATCACCGACGTTCCGTAAGCTAGCTTCATAGCTTCCTAACATGAAATAATCAAAAGTTCCTGTCGGGATTCGAACCCACAGCGGTGAGGAGCTAGTGGTTTGAAGTCAACGACGTTAACCACTCCGCCACGGACGCCCCAGCAAAAGTTGTTCTATGGTAAACATTACAAAAGATATGAAGGTTTGACATAAAATAAAGAACCTTTGGAAGCAATGAAACCAAACTCAATTTTCTACGTTTATATGTGTTTTATATATTGGATCAATTCTGATTTACATAGAGCTTAATGTTTTGCAAAATATATTATAAATAAAAAAATACATGTATATGAACTGGAATTGAATTAACATTAAATTGATGAGAATTAATAATCACAAATGATTTTTTTCATTCGTTATTATTTGTATATATTTGTTAAAACACAAAACTGCTTACATCATAACTGTATCCTCTTCATTGATGGATTTCAAATTGACGTGTTAACAACTACAATACATGAAGTATTTCAAAATCACTAGCAGACTAGGGCTGCTCTTACGGAGATCTTAAAGTTAGTAATCAGATTAAACACACAATGTCATTCAGTAACTGATGACAATCCGAAGATAAATGATGATACATCGAATGCATTTAGGCCAATTTATGCAAGTGTGCTTTGAGACTAATCTTACTGTTTAAAATATAGAGATAAAATCCCTTGCTTATTGAATTAGCTGAGATAAATATGTAAATTCTATATTTAGTAATAATTAATTTTAACCTAATTACTTTTTGACATATAACGATATAGATTCATGCATATCTAAATATAATTCACTTTCAAATACACAAATATATAATTCTTGCCATTAATACATCCTATCATTCTCGGCTGGAATAAACATATTATTTTTATTGCACGAATGCATCTTTGCTCATGTACTGCGTGATCATTGTGTATCATCCTAGACCTAACTTTTCGTTACTTTTCATTCTACTTAACATGTATGTAAAAATTAACATGAGACATATAATAATGACAAAGTACAATCTTTAACATATTCATTAGCACTTTCAATTATCACATTATACATAGTATACATGTAGATAGAGATACTTAAAGTACAATGCATATAGAGATGCCTTTTTAAGTTAACAAGAACAATATGAAGTTAATTTAAATGTTTACAAGTTTTACAGCATAAGCCTTTATATCAATGAAAAAAATATAAGTAGGTGGTACATTGCCTATATATAATTGACAATATTCTACATGAAACAGCTAAATCCCTAAAAACTTTAGCAACATTACATATTTTTATCATGTGTTAATAAAAGTAAAAGTAATACACACATATACGATGCATGAAGTATGATTGCAAAAAAGGAAACAATGCATATATTGTAATGATATAAAGTCATAAAACAATAAAGACCACACAGAAGTATTGTCATACACACACATTTATATATACATGTACATGCTATTACAGCTTGATACATCCGTATGCATTATGTGCATACCTTGTTTTAGTTCTCGTATCCTGTGCCACTCGTATCCTGTGCCATATCAAATAGAGATACAATCTGTAACACAACTGCCAGTGCTTGTTGTATTCAATTCATAAAACACATAGACATGAAAATAATAGGCTGTTTAAAAAGTAAGTAGTGTAAGGATATTAAGAGTAAATCTTAACACTATCAAAGGTTAATAGATATGTACAGAGTATAAAGTTCTGTCCGAAACAAGAATATATTACTTTTTGTTGATTATTATTCGGAAATTTTAATCTGCCCTGTTTCTATAATAAATAAGAAATATAATTTTGTATATAGATCTAAATAATAATAATTTATATGGTTCTTTAAAATTGCATACCAGTACACTGCATTTACTTATAGACTTATAGAGAAACGGTCAGTTACAAAATCGATACAATTCTAATGTTTAAAATATACCAACATATAATCCGAATCTAACGCATCACAATTCAAAGACACACACCAATCATTGATTCAGTGGTTATTGTTTTTTTTTTCAATTATATGATATTGAATTCAAAGATTCATATACACATATTCACTGCAAGTCAAACGTTAAATTTCATCTGTTTTCTGTGTAATTTACAAATACCTGTTTGTTCAAACTGTTTTGCTTCTGTTTCATTTACAAATATGTGTTTGATTGAGTTGTCTTTTTTAAGTCATTTGTATGTTTGTCATTGAACATTTTTTCTTGCAAGAGGAGCACAACATCTTTCAATGTGTTATTTGTGTTTAGCAAGAAAGTCGGAGAAATTCTGTACCCTGTCACATCCTGCACTATGTTTATAAAAGTAACGGATGACATGGAGTCCAGGGACAGGTCAGCTATAGCAGTCGAAGAATCAAGTTGATGAAAATCCTGCCAAATGACTTTGCCTGTTATTTTTAGAATAACCTGGGTAATAGCCTCAATCTGTGCTGCTTTACTGGAATTCTGCAATTTCTGTTGATCTATATATAAATGGTTTGCGTCGGAACTTTGTTGTCTTAATTCAGTGATTTCTTGTTCCAAAAAGACTGACATTCTAATGCGGAAACGTTTCATGTATGGATTGTCGTAGTCTTTGGCGTGCATATTCCAGTTTACATCTGTGTAAATGGTTTTTGTCAGATTTCCCATTAATGCGTCTTGAAAACAGCTTCGGATGTCTGACACAGATAAAAGATTGAAACCACGTTTTTCAAAATTGTCCGTAAACTCCGGCCTAGCAGCCATACCTATAGCAAGAGCACCCCAATTTATTGACTGACCAGTGAGGCCTTGGCTTCGCCTCCAATCTATGAATGTGTCAAGGAAACAGTTAGCAGCACCATAACTAGCTTGACCGGGGGATCCTATCAGGCTGTTAATGGAAGATGAAACCACAAAGTAATGCAATTTATGTTTCATTGTCGCAATATGCATATTCAATGTGCCTATAACCTTGGGTCGTAATACATAGTCAAGTTGCGACTTCTCTAACTGAGTTAAAAGTTTTCCTTCTAGAACCCCAGCACAATGGAACACACCCTGGATTTTATTCCCTTGAGATAGACGTTCTGCTTCACTTATCGCATTTTCAACAGATTCCAGTTTAGTCACGTCAGCTTGTATGCCAAAGATTTTACAACCAGTTTTCTTCATAATTCCTTCAATTTGTGTGAGTTTTTCTTCAGGTATCTTTCTTCTAGAGAAAGTTGCAATTGTACCAGCTCCCATTTCTGCAAGAAGAACGGCCAATTCCCAACCAAGTCCGGTCATCCCACCTGTTACTATATACACACTTGATTTATTAAATAAACTTTGCAACGGCTTTCTTATGGGTAAAAGTAAACGGCCATTACTGACTATATCAGTTGTTGGACAAGGGATGCAGCACTTCTGATCATTATGCATTGACCTGCTGTATTGCATTTTTGAAACTTTATGAACGTTTTGCTGAATCCAATCAACCGCTTTCGGTAAGCATTTACTTATATGTTTCCTCTCTAATAAGTGAGCAACGCTTAAACAAGTAAGCCTTTGATCTTTTGATCTTGAAATTTTCATACGAAGTGATCCTTTTATACACCCGTCGATACATATGATGGACTTACATTTTCCTACAGCTACACAACTTTCATCAATCTGATCAATTGATACTAAATAATCAATGCCAGCACTATTCCCTACATTCATATTCTCAGAAATAACTTTGCAGCTTTTACATGTCTGAAGGATACATGTTAACAAGAAGTTTCCTGAAGTAGGTTCGTCATTGTTGTGAATTACCACTTTTGATCCACGCGGTACAAACTCACATAATCTGAAGCTTATGACTGTATACAAAAGAAGGCCTGGTATGTACACCTTTAGATCCTTCAGCAACACTGTGCACTCTTCAGGTATGTTCATCTCTGTTAATAACTTTGAAGGATAGATGCATACTATTTCCCACCTGTTCGAAAAGTCGTTTTTGATTTCATCATCAACCTTTGGTTCTGTGCAGGATGATTTGCCCTTTTTGTTCCTATAAAGCTTATAACCTGTGTATTCAATGCCAAGTAGTTCATGTCCATCTTTTATTGTATCTTTCCATATATCTTGATCGAGGTCAATTCCACTGCTGGTTCTAGGATAAATACAAACAGGATGAACACATACACGATTCAGTTTAAGCAAGAGGTTGTCGTTTTTGCGCCGATATTCTTCTCCTGAACTTTCACATACATACAATGTTCCTACTTTAATAGATCTGTCAGTCAAAATTTTGTGCGGTAACATTGACTTTTCAAGTAATGCTACTTCGTTTCTCAGTTTCGGAAGAACATTTTTTCTAGGTACTTTCGTAAATTGAGCTCCATATGTTTTATTTTTGAAAATTATGATCTCTGTGTTTACTGTATCGGGGTTCCTGCAAGAACTTGACACAAAGTTTAAAAGAGTGGATATTGTTTCCGATAGTGATGGCTGAAGATCTATCAACGTAATGACACCATAAATAAACTCAATATTAACAGAACGAACGAAGCCCCATAATTCTTCTCCAACTAAGCTTAAATTTTCATACAAATTTGAAAGAGAGAGTTGTGTATTTTGCGTTGCTATATAAATTGGAATGGACATGCCTTTGCTGACCATATACTTGACGACTGTGCTTAGAAACAAGCAATTTTCTCGGACAATTGAGTGAATATACTCAGCGCACTCATGTGTAATTGAACTTGTTTCAAACTTGTCAATAACCAGTAAAACTGCATCAGTATTTGTAACTGACTTCCAATGCGACTTTGCTACCTTAAAAACCTTTCCGACGTCATCTCCTGACATATTCCGCGTGGCCTTGGCGATGAACGTGTGCCCAATGTCATCGAGGTGATTTTTCATTTCCGAAATTTCAGCGGTTGATAGTATAAGAATATTTGCTCTTTGTCTTGCTTTCTCTAATGGTAGATTAAAATCATGCCAAGTAAGGTCATACTTTAGTTCACATGGTGCAGTTAAGCCATTTCGTTTTCCGTATGTAGTGTAATTCTGTACCTCAGCTATTACAAATCCGTCATTATTGATCAGCAATATGTTATAATGGAGCTGGAAAACGGAATCTAGTAATGTCGTGTTTGTACGTTTTGTGTACAAATACATATTTCGCTCAGGGCTTTTTCTCACATGTATTTTTCCCATTGCAACTGGCAAGAACGATAGCTTTTCGGCTTTAATTTTGTCAAAAAGTTCCTCCGTAGTAACATTTATTGTTGACTGTACCATTGCATCTAAAATACAAGGATGAATAGTTGTTAATTGTAAATCTGACATGAGGACATCAGGAAGTTCTACCTCTGTTAAACATTCAACGCCATTTGTAACACAGCTTTTCAGAAGCTTGAAACATATTCCATACTGAAATCCAAGGGACATAAGATAGCCATACATTTCATTCTCGCCCATCCTCCTACACTCTGCTGAAGATATTGTTGTTCTTATAAGGTCTACATCAACGATTGTCTCACTCATCTCGTCCAATTGAGTTTTGTGAACCCATCCTTTGCATATAGTCACATCAGCATGTTTAACGTGAAAAAGTAGCCCGTCCCTTTGTTTAATGGTTGATATATCTAAAGATGTTTTTTCTTTAGTTTTCACTTTTACTGGTCGGAGAAACTCTAATGATATAATTGTATCTTGTTTAGATAGTCCTTTGACTGTTCTTCCAATTTCGAAACCAATATCAGCATACGTGGCACCCGGAATTACTATCTCTCTTTTAACAAAATGTTGGAACACAAACGAAGTAGTTTCTTCGTTGATCTCAGCCCTAAATGATGCAGTACCGTTATTTTCTGGGAATCGTTTGATAAACAAATGGTCATCTTTCTGTATTTCAAATCCATTGATTCTCATGACTGCCTCTTGACTCTGATAAAACATTCGCCGTTTTTGCAAATTGTTCCTTGGAATATCAGTACATTGCGTTTGACATGGATTAATATTGTTCCACTTTGGCTCTAATCCCAACTGATATAATTGACAGATTGATGCTGTTATTGTGTCTAGCTCACTGTGTTTTCTCATAGAGAGAACAATCGAATAGTTTGTTCTACTATATAGGATACTATCCAAATGAGCTCTCAAAACTGGACTAGGACCGATTTCAACAAATATGTCATGACTCTGATCTGAACTTGCTTTTTTAATAGCCTGTGAAAATAATACTGGCATTTTAACATTTTTCTCCCAGTAAGATGACTTTCCAATTGTATAACTAGATTCTTGTCGACCAGTTACAGTTGAAAATACTGCAATATTCCCTTCTGTACAAGACATACCTTCAAGTTGTTCTCGAAGGTGTAAAGCAGCTTGTTCAACAAAATGGCTATGATATGCACATTTTACGTCCAAGCGTATAATTTTTGCCTTACTATATTCTGGTTTCGAAAGTTGATATTTCAACCGATCAACTTGATCTATGCTACCTGAAACTGTACAGGATACCGGACTGTTGTACACAGCGATGACAGATCCTACAGTTTGGCACAACTTTTCAATAATTTCAACATCGACGTTGCTAACAACAATCATACCTCCCTGATTGACAGATGCCAATACCTTTGATCTGTTGTATATGATATTCACTGCTGTTTCAAGATCAAAATAATTTGCAGCGAAGGCTGCTGCAACTTCTCCAACCGACTGCCCAACAATAGCGTCTGGGGTAATTCCAATGTGTTTCCAAAGCATTGTAAGTCCAACTTGACAGGCAAAAATTGCTATATGAGCTTTCATCGGATCAGCCTGGAAATCTAACGAATTTTGGAATAATTCTGCTACCGCCCAACCCGACAGAGGTTGCAACACTTGATCGATTTGTTTGACTGCTGATCTAAAGGCTTTTATCTTCATTAATGAGTTGCACATTCCTTTCCAGGAGGTACCAACACCACAAAACACAAACACAATTCTTTTTGTCATAGTTACTTTGACGGGTTCATCATCTGCCTCTAGGGACTTTTTCAAGGCAGACATAATTTCTTCTTGTGTTTTTCCAAACACTGCCTTTCTTTCTTTAAAATGATCTCGTTTACACGTGGATGTACACGAAAGTGACGATAAGTCATATGAATTGGACTCTAAAGCATTCCTTGTTGACTGCATATTTTCTTTCAGGGAATATCTGTCGATAGCTGAAAAGGTAATTATGTAAGGAAACGTGTTAATTGTCCCTACGGCAGACGAAATCCCATGTTTTGATTCTTGATATTCCTCAATAATTGCGTGAGCATTAGTGCCGCCAAAGCCAAAACTGTTTACGCATGCAAGACGTTTTTCCGATTCCGATTTACACCAATTTGTACATTCAGTAGGGACAATAAATCCGTGGTCGGACATTTTTAGTTTTGGGTTTTCGTTATCCTTCTTGTACCATAAAGAAGGGACAATTGTATGGTATTTTATCATAAGTAAAACCTTTATCAAACCTGCCACACCTGCAGCGGCTTCTAGATGGCCAATGTTTGTCTTCACAGATCCAACGTAAACAGGTGATTGAGAATTAGCTTTCTTTCCAAAATGTGCTCCTAATGCGTTAATCTCTGTTGGATCTCCAATAAGTGTCCCTGTTCCTATAAAGATATCAAAATACAAACATGTCAGACTCGGTTATCTTTCGCATTTTTTAAGTTATTCTGCAAGGATATTTGTAGTGAAGAGGAGGAGTAATTATGTCTGGTGTAACAAATATGAGTAAAGTAATCGAAAATTGATAGCAATGAATATTTATAATGCTTACAAAATTGATACTATAAACTCGTCAAAGCTTTTTTGTCTGAGGCAGCATTCTAGTAAAAGAAGATGGTACTGACACTCTCAGAGGTTCAGTAACGGATGTATTGTTTATATGCAAAATCAAATTGATACAACATTTGTGTTTAGCATACCACATGATATTGGGCGTCCGTGGCCGAGTGGTAAGGGTATTTGACTTCGAACACCTACCCTGTCACTTATGGTTTGAATCTGATCAAAAGACTGCGGATTTGTTCGTTAGGGAAAGGTTTATGTTAGTAAGTATTTAGGTTGGCTTATGGACATCATATGTTTTACTCAGACCCTTGCTCGTCCCGGAAATAATGCACGGAAACGCAACTGACGTCTCCCAAAAGTCGCTTTATGACATTGAAAGTGTTGATGCTACTCAAAACCAAACCAAACACACACACAAACTAATAACGTCTTTCATTTTTTTAATGTATAAAGGAATAAGATCATTTGTGGAAAAATTCAATAAATATTTAGTGGAACAGCTTAATCAGTGTATGCAAACTAAAACATCTATTCTACAGAAGTTAAATGTTTTTATTTCATTAAAATCTTATTATTAAATCTTAAATATTAAATATGTGATACTCAAAAACGTTTATAATTAATTTATATGAAATATGAAATGAAAACATACCGTGTGCTTCAATTACTTGAATACAGGACGTATCAATATTGTATCTTGCATAAGTTCTCTTGATTAAGCGCTCTTGTTGAAGCCCAGATGGAGCCGTTATTGGTGTAGTCATGTGACCATCTTGATTAACTCCTGTTTTTATAATACTCCATATTTTGTTACCATCTTTGATAGCCTGCAATATTAAATGGTTAAGTATGAACAATGATTTAAAAGAAATTAATAGCAAATGAAAGCGAAAGTACGTATTGTGACAAACAAGTACTTTTTCATATCATCAGGCAAAACATAAACGTATTCTAAAAAGTTTAATATGAATATGCGTTGGCAAATTTTATTCAGCGTTTTCGTTTTACATGTACAGCTTTATAATAAAGAATGTTTTGTGAATTCTCAATTTACCTGTTTCAGCTTCTTAAGAATAACAATACCGCATCCTTCACCTCTGGCATATCCGTCAGCCTCTTTCGTGAATGTTTTACACTGACCGGACGGTGACAACATTCTTGCTTTTGCTAATGCTATAAACATTTGTGGATCCAGAAGAACATTAACTCCGCCACATATAGCCAATGTACAGATTCCTACAAAATGAATGATAAATATATAAGTTTACTAGTAAATAGAAAGTGCAACTACTTTTTTCTGTATTCTTTGATGCACAAAAGAACATGTATTTCTCTTGATAACAAATAAGTTGGAATAAAAACAAACAAACAAATTGTTATACCAATGGTTTATAGTATCAGATATAAATGAAAGTTTTCATTAGCTTTAGTGCGTTTTGGGGTATATAAAGAACAAAAATCCTCAAATTGATCACTAAACAATAATCATGCCTACCATTACATTGATCTTGGTGTTTAATTCCAGTATTAAATCATCTATTCATTTAATTTGAAAATTTATATTCTTGATTTTGTTCCTTACTGGTATTTATACATTATTTTTTATCTATAAGGTGAACTATTTATATAAATAGCTACAGAAACTTTGACCCGATGAAGATAAATGTAAAGGAACGGGTTTTGACATCTTGTATAATTTATTCACATATTGAGTTTCTACGGTCTCTAATGTCTGTTTATGATTGATATTGTGCTTTTTGTTTCTATCCAGACATGCAGGAAACTGAGAACAAACCTAAACAAGTGCACCGCTCAGCGTGGCAATATACGCCCGAATACAAATTTATTGTAAGTACATAAAATTTAAAGTAATCAAAAATAATGTTTAAACAGAGAGGATATCCATTTTTAACATTTAATGCAACAGCTTTCGGCTGTGGAGTACATACCCCAGATATATCACCACTCATGCCCTTAAAAAACTAATCTTTAAGCACAGGGTGGTGATTATTTATCTCAATGCAATTGTAACGGAATATATACTGACTGAAAACAACAATAATGTTGGTTTTTAAATGACAAAAATTCAAAGAAACATATTAATAATATTAAAACAGAAATAGTTATGCACATAATATTATGCCCTAAATTATAATAAATATAAATGCTATGCTTACAAATAATTTTCTTCTGTTGTATTACCGTCCTTTACATTTATAACTTAAATACATTGATCCCAGTAACATGATTTATATAAATTTTGTAGATGTCAGAAAGGGTTGCAAAATATGTAAGCGTAACATGAATATAATACATGTTTTATTTGGGGGCATAAGAAAAAGTGTTGTTATTACCTTCTTTGATTTTAAAATTTTAAAATTCAGCAATTCAAAAACTTATTATCTTTGTTTTTCTTACTTTGAACATATATCAGTCTTTTAATTAGAGAGAGACTGCCAACAATAAAGCAAACAAAGCTTTGTTAAATTACCTTGAAAATTGACATTTAATATCCTTCATTTACAACTTATTGTTATTTAGTGAAAGAACATATCTTAAGTAACATCAGTTCAATTTATAAGATTGCGCCATTTCATATAAACCTATGACAGCACCTCAATTATTATAATCTTAACAGAAAAAAAAATCTAAAAATAAAAAGTTTGATAATAAAGTAATAGGTTTTGGAAAATAAAGGTAGGAATCACATTAATAAATTCATACATTGTAACCTCCCTTTGTAATATTTACACTTTATAAGGATTTTGAATGAGTCAGTGCGACCTTGACATTGATCTGAAATAGTCCAAAATAATTATTGCGATCTACACATCCTCGTAGTAATATAGATATTTCTGCCAAATAGATTTAATTTCATACTATCAGTTTAAAAGAAACTAAGCGGACACAAAATTTCGAAAATGATACAAAAAGACTAAGTGTGACCTTTGACCTGAGGAAGGTCAGACCTGAACTCTGCACATAGTCTCATTGTGGATAACATTTCTGCCAAGTAATTTGAATTCCTTTCCATCGGTTCAATAGATACAGACCGGACACAAAAACTCCTATATAAGTCTTAATAAATCAATACAACCCTGGGGTGGGCCAATTTTAATTGTAGGAAGTCCAAACTTGTGTTCTTTACACCGTCTCAATATTAGTAATATTTCTGCCAAAAAGTTTTAAATTTCCTTCGATCGGTTCAAAAGATACAGAGCGAACAAAAAAGTATGACCTTAGGCTGAGAAAGGTCAAGCCTGCGCTCTGCACGTCGCCCAATTATGGTTAACATTTCTGCTAAGTTGTTTGAATTTCTTTCCACCGTTTCAAAAAGACCGGACAAGAAAAACTTCTAACAGACGGACGGACAGACGGATAGATAGACAGACGGACAACCAGGTGCATAACAATATACGCCAAAATTCCTTCTGGCGTGTAAAAATAGGGTGAAAAACTAAATCCTTTAAGAACGCCAAAAGCGCCATAATTAAAAATGTTGCTGGTTCGGTTTGATTGAGTCGTTTATGAACGGTATTTAAAAGTGCAGGCTCCCTAGCATCGGCTTAAGCAGATTTCAACACTTTAACACAAAAATGGTAAATTTTTAATTTTAAAAAATTCGCAGATGTACTCATACGGCATCTGCCATGGAACCTTTAATGTGGCATCTTCGTGACATTTCATGAAAATCGGCTTATTGTCCAAGGTAAAAGACAACATGTACCCTATATGAGAAAACAATGGGCGGTACAAAACAAAGTAGAAGGAGGCATCATATCCTAAGTGTGATTATACAGTAATCAAGTAGGAATAATGGAACCAACCAAGTTAAAAAAGGTCAAATAGAAGATACTAAAATACCACAACATAAACACACCACAATATTGCCGTGCTCAATGATCTCCAATGATCAAAAATTTAACGACCACCACACGGCACAAATAACACCGATGTCGTACAGAAAAGGGAACTGCTTAAGAACTACGAAAACGAAAAATACGTTTTTGTCAACTTTTTTTACCGCTCTATCATAAAAATGAATTTATTACCTGTGTGTATGGATTGTGAAGCTAAATCAATGGCGACCAGAGAAGATGAACATGCAGTGTCTAGTGTCAATGAAGGCCCAAGAAGGTTGTAATTGTATGAAACCCTTGCGCTTATAATACTGTTATGTGTTCCTGTTACGGAATACGCACTGCTTAGTCCTACATCGTCCATAACATGACCCTTGTAGTCATCAGTCATAGATCCTGCAATATGTTTGCCACATAAACAAATTAAAACCTGAGCGTATCAAATCATACTTACTTTCATTGCAAATTTAAATATACACATTTAACATCGCTAAATACGTTTGCTGAAAATTACTTTGCTTATAATTATAAATCCAGCGCGACCACAAGCTATTCTAAAACAAAATTTGACTATTATTCACATAAATTTACCTTGTCTGCGTAATATTACCTCAAAGGAAGACGTGTCCTAGTGTACTTCGTAGATTAATTCAACACACCTCTATATGTAATAAGTTTAGTTGGAAGCGCATTATAATTCGCTTTAACAACATATTTTGAAAGGAACAAATACATGAATCTACGAATAACCGGTGGGGACATTTCAACTTCATGAATTCCTGATTTCAGCTTCATGAATTCTCAATTTCAACTTCAGGAATTCACGATTTCAACTTCATGAATTCCCGATTTCAACTTCATGAATTCACGATTTCAACTTCATGAAGTTGAAATCGTGAATTTGTGAAGTTGAAATCGTGATTCGTGAAGTTGAAATCGTAAATTCGTGAAGTTGAAATCATGAACTCACGAAGTTAAATTCGTAAATTCATGAAGTTGAAATCGTGAATTCATGAAGTTGAAATCGTGAATTCGTGAAATTGAAATCGTGAATTCATGAATTTGAAATCGTGAATTCATGAAGTTGAAATCGTGAATTCATGAAGTTGAAATCGTGAATTCGTGAAGTTGTAATCGTGAATTCATGAAGTTGAAATCGTGAATTCGTGAAGTTGAAGTCGTGAATTCATGAAGCTGAATCGTGAATTCATGAATTCCGTATTTTGAAAACGGGAATGCACGAAGTTTAAATTGTGAATTCATGAAGATGAAATCGGGAATTCATGAAGTTGAAATGGCCCTACCGGTCTTTCGTATGAATCAGTCACGAATTATATCAATTCATCATGCGTACCTATGTAAACTGCCGTGTCCGAACCATCGATATCATTTCGTCTTATTCCACCATCTTCGAGCGCCATATGGACACACTCTAGAACCAGTCTCTGCTGGGGGTCAACAAGTTCTGCTTCCATATCGTTCAAACCGAAGAAGCGGTGATCCCATTCTTCGACCCTTAAGACGGAATAATTGTAGATCGAAATGTTATAATGGAATATGTCATAAAAATTGATGTAAAGGAATGGGGAAATGACCATGAGTCCGGTCTTTTAACCTTCATGCCACCTTTTTTACTATAGGAAAGTAGGCAATTTCAACACAAATTAATTTCTTGTTTGTACTACATAACTTTATCATCAAAATATTACAGCTGTAATATAAAACATCTTTTACGAAAAATTAAATTTTAAAATAAATTGTTATTTCTTGTTTGATTGATGATTCCCAGTACCGAATTTCATGTAAAAAAATAAAACATGAACCATCATGAAAAATATAAACCCTTATAAAACTTACCCCTTTACAAAACCTGCATTGCGAACATAAGTCTTGCCTGGTGTGTTTGGGTCCGGATCAAAGAATACATCTAAATTCCATCTACTAGCTGGTACTTCTTTTACATGGTTCTCGCCATTCCTAAGTACACGCCAGAATTCTTCTAAATTATCAGCGCCTGGAAATCTACACCCGATCCCAACAATAGCGATATCCTGTAAATCGCCCATTGTTGTCGCTTTTGATCTTGTCTAGTCCATCCTGTTTTGTATTTTTTACAAAGTTAAAAGTTTCTTTATAACAGAGTATACGAATAAAATGTTATATTATGGTTAATAATTTTTAAATTTGTTGACATGTTTCTTTTTTTTAAAAAATACTTAGCTTTGTCGTATTGTTCTGCATACATGTAAGTATGATGTAAATATCGTCTAAGAACGGTGTCTTTAAAACTTAATTAACCTTATAGAAGGTTTGGCTTATCTATATATCAATAATACTTATACATAGATATTTATGTGAAAAAGGCGTCATTTATTTCAGCATGGAATGTTTTTGGTAAACCCTAGATTGCTGAGCGTTTTTAATTTTGTCTTTTTAAAGCACGTCATATTTTAAGTCTTTTTCGTGCTTTGCTTTTATTTATATTATTTTATTTTTTTTTTAATTAAATTTCGTTTTTTCCATAAGTAAAGATGTGTTGGTTTAATCTTTTTCTCAAACTTTGGGATATGAAAATAGATATTTTTAAATTTAAATTAATTTAAGTTTGCTTAACATTTAACAATTCATGAACTTGATAACAACAAAAATGTTCTTTTATTAATATTTTTCACAGTCGATTCAGCTACGTAAACTAGCCACCAGGATTGGTGCAATATAAGGAAACGAGTTTTAGGTTAAGAGGCAGGCACCTTAACTTTCAGACCACTGACCTCTGTAGGTTATCTTTTAAAGTAATGTGTTTTTAGGTTAATTTTTGGCAATTGGTATTGCAACTTAAGTCCACTACCATTTTTTGCCTAAATAAAAGAGGTCGGATAGACATAATATTTTATCTGCATTATCTGCATTATCGATGTATCTTTTAATGAATGCAATAGTAACTTTTCTTAACTACATGTAAAAAAAATACTACTAATTGCTACATGTTTTCAGTCAGTGTGAATTCTCACTTTTTATTGTACTATAAAATTACAGTTTGTCGTCTACTTAGATAATAATCCCCTGTTCACATTTTGAATTTGTAGATCTTTATATTGCTTCTTTAGCTCCACGCAGACTCTAAACTATCTTAGAACAAATAAGCCTTTCAGACATAAAATCATTCTGATTGCCACTGATAAAGCTCAATAGGAAAAAAAGTTTTCTATTTACAAAACGCTAAATAATTTGATAAAACATTTGCTTACCTAAGACTTTCTTGAATGAGCAGTACCATTCAGTCTTTAATATTGGACAGAGTCAATCTCTGGCTCTGATCTTATATAGTTTGCAAAACGAAATGACTTGACTTGTCTAAGTAATTTATATTGATTTATGTTTAATTAAGAATATTTTCAAGCGGTAATTTGTCCCCTGCAGTGCATGAATAATAACACTTAAATAAAGTAAAATACACTTAAATTACCTGACAGATTGATATGATTCAAACGATAAATCATATATTTTAAGTGGATACGAAGGAAGCTTTTATAAAATATGATAATCATCAAGGAAAGGCGGCATACTGACGTGCTACAAATTGCAAAACGTGACACTCAATTGAGACTTTCAATGGTGTACATGCTTCCTGTTTGGCTGTAAAACACCGCTGATTGGTTCATGACTTTAAGATTAAAAATTTTGATTTCGTTTTAAGTGCAAAATTGTTGTATTTAACATTTTAATGCTCATTTAAGGATTTACAACGCATTAGATGATGTTTTTTATTTAAAAAAATGTAATAAATAACTAGGATTTTTTGCAATAAAATTTGAAGTAATTTTGTTTTTTTAGATAAGTTGTCTAAATTTACATAATTGTCGACGTGTCACAAATTGCTTTTATTTCAACTAAATATTTCAGATATCTTATACATAAAGAATCAGTCATTATTAAAAATAGTTCTTGCGTGAAAATTTTTAACAAAGTTGGTAACTATTTTTTTACATTTGTGGTACAAACAAATTCATCTGTTTATTGTTACAGAACATAAGACTAAAATGAAAACCTGTCAGGATTTTTGCTTCATTGAAACAGCTAGAGGTGGTAAATAAGGCTATCGTTTAAAAACATTCGACTTCTGATCTTTTTTTGAAATTGCCAATGTCAAGTATAATGTTAGTGATTTGAATAAAATGCTTATTCCCAGAAAGGGAACATGTTATTCAGACCTTTTTGTGTTGGCGTTAATATTGTAATGTTTGATACTTTTTTAAACCTTACCAATTCCAACTACGAAATATACATGCAATTTCATACATTTTGTTCTCGTTTCATTTTCTCCTGACAGTCACTTGTTTCGACAGCTTCAATTCAAATAACTTTCTTCAATAATTTTTTAAAGAAACATTACTAGATGTAAAAATCTTTTTCAATATTGTTGTTAACTGACCTGATTGATTTTTTTTTGTTTGTTTATTATTTTGTGATGTTGTTTTAATGTTCATGTTTAAATTTAGCAAACATTTCACTGTCAATTAGGTTCTACAAAAACTCGGAAAATCGCCTTGTGCCAATCAATACAATGCTTCGAAAATAAATCTTAAACCAAATTTGGTTTTGGTGTAAAATTTTAAGCTTAAGTGGTACAGTAGTACAAGCGCGCTGATGCTGTCCATCACAATTTGAAGTTCACTTTAGTACATGTACTACATACAACAAAGCGCAGTGATAATAATGGCCGAATATAAACGTCGTATTTATATTTCGAAAGGGGTGTAAATTACAGGTGGAAGGTTTAAAATGCAAATTCATTGCTCCTTTATAATATCTTCACTTCATGTTTTCCCATGACACGTGACATTCCTGTTACGTTATCTCTATGCAGTAGTTCAAACGATATCTTTAACTTTAACAAACTTACCCTTATTCCTGCCATAAAGAAAGGAGAAACCCGGAAAACATTTAAGAGGCTAGTCAGTAAGTTCTTGTACGTTTATTTTAGCTTTTAAATTTTTTTAGGTGTAAATAATTATTTAAAACAAAATTAAGAAAAAAACTTCAAAACTTTTTAATTAGATAGTTTTTAAAGCTGCTATTTTTTATTTAAATTATTTGAAAATCAACGTAAAAGTAAATTTTTTTACTTTAAAATTTTAAAATTAAAACGATTTTAGGTTTGTTATCAAAATAAGCTGTTAATTAATAAAAAATTACATGTAATAATGTAAATTTTTTTATATTTTTCCAATAAATTTGAATAAAATATATGAATTTTTTTACTGCAACAATAAAATAATAAAATTTGCATTTCATAATTGTTAATTTAATGTTTGGCTTAAACTTTCTGCGGAAATATGTTAAGGTTTATTTTTATGTATTTACTAAGATAAACTGTCTCATTAGGTTTTTAAAAAATGTTTAGCATTTAAATATAACGAATTCTCCTTGCACAACATTTCCGTAAATAATTTGATACTTACTTTTTTTTTCTTTCTTTTTTTTCTTTTTTTTTTTTTTTGTAGGAAAGGTGGTCACAATATCACAATTCATTAAAACTGCACGCCTGTACAACATATGAAGTTGAATAGGACACCAATCAATTAAACATTATAACACGAAATAATATTGCCAAAAGCGAATCTATTTTTCCCAGTGGTTGCAAGGCAAGTCTCATGGGTCACTACCTACAATACCAATGTTCTTTTAAACTATAACTCTATGCTCTACGCAAACGGACTTACGTCACCCACAGTATCATACAATACTAACATAAATGACGGTAACCACAATTTGACCCTACTTAAGATTAAAAGTCATTTGTTTAAAAGTCATTTCAAAAACATTGCTGCATTTTAAAGTTGTTAATTGTTTATTTTTGGTGACAGATATTTCCAGATATTTGATTCTCGGTTGGACATGGCATGTATGGTTTTTCTTCAAAGATGTTTTTATCAAAACATTAAATATAAAGACTTCTTAAAAAACAGTAGATGGGGCGACAAGCTGAAAAAAAGTAAATGCAAAAGGCATTCATAATGATGCACATTTGTTAAAAAAAATATCATTGATTTGAAATTTTACCTTGCAGCTTGTAACTTTTAATTATGTTCCCTTAAATGCAGTTATTTGAATTAAATTTTAATAATTCAGACGATATCTAAGATTATTCTAGACATAAGTATCTTTTTGGAAAAAATGTGAATATAAAATGTGGACGGTAACTTGCACTTTCCATTACCGTCCATGAACAGGCTCAATCAAACCGAGCCTGCATTATTTTCAATTTTGCCTTGTTGGGCTTTCTTTAGGGATTTTGTGTTTCACTATTTTACTTTGCTATTGTTCAACGTTAAATTCTTTTATAATTGAATTCCTTTGTTGTTTAAAATTAGAATTTAATTCTCAAACTATTTTGTAAAAGGAACATAAATGTGACAAGGTAAATATGATTCAACACAACCGACATCAATTCAATGCATAAGTAGATACCAAAAAACGATTCAAGTTATAAATTAAGCAGTAATCCAAGATGATAAATTGAATACGTTTTATTTAATACATTCTGTAAATATAATTTAAACGTATGTCAAAATGACATTTTTTATTTGTTGCTGAAACCTGTTGTGTAAACATCTTTACGTTTTATTATGTATAGTGTTAGGGGTTTTTTAATTATAATTCTATGTTTTACATATTTAATCAAATATTTAATAATTATATCATTACTTCAGTATCTATTGTATTAGATCTTGTTTTTCAGTAATAATTATATATGTTTATTTTTTAATTTATTATTTTATATTATAAATAAAACATTATGTTTATATTGATTAGCAATTTAGACATCAATAATTTTAAATAATTAAGTATTAAGTTTATAATAATCATTTTCTTTACTGAAAGCTACTTTTTTACTTTAAAAAGCCCATATGTTCATTCCTTTCTCATTAAACTTGTTCAAAAACAGCGAAATTTGTGTTTGTTTATGTTAACATGTATTAAAAATCACTTTGAATAATATACGTTCAACATGTCTTAATATTATTTTATTGTATAGATATTTGATTTTAGTAACATCAAATCATTTTTTTTTTGTATGATTTGCAACCAATCATTATTTTAGTCCTTTTTTCATAATTTTTTCTAATAAGCATCCTATTATTATTTCAGTCATATTTTCTTAACCCTACAATAGAAAATTATTCATTATAAAAGAATGATTTCTTATATAAAAATATAAGGAGATGTAATCCTAATGCAAGGAAAACGTGAAAGGAAAACTACTCCAAAACAATTACAAGTCATAGAATAATTGCATTTGAAATCATTTACTGCATTTTACAGTTGTCTTAATGTCTTGTTAAAACATAAGGACAGATTTTTCGCCTTTGCTTCTGTGTCGGGCATGCAACGTATGCTGTTTCCTTACGGACGTTATTTTTTAAATTATAAATTAAAACTAAAAAGACAATCAGTAGATCGGGTGTCAAGCTAAAAGATAAATGCTTTTGAGTGCACATTTGACATTTGATTTATTATCGGTTTAAAAAATTATATAGCAGCGTGGAACTGTCAATTACATATCCTTTAAGTTATTCGGATTAAAAAGGCATACAAATTAAATCTTTAAACACTAAGAAGATATCAAACATTATTTTAAATATTATTATTAATAAAATTATTATATTATTAGTATAGTTCAGCGTTTATTTCTTTTATTTCTTTTATTTGAAGATTTTGGTATTTAAAATATTTACTTCTTAAAACTATTTTGTAAGAGAAAAGTAAATGAAACGCGGTAAATATACTTTTACAGTACGAGTATCAATTCAAACCATCAGTAGAGACCTTAAACGTTATAACCTATTAATAATTCAGTTATATCCTATTCAAAATGATAAATAGAATAAGTTTAAATACATTTCTTCAGAATAACATTGTGTTAAGAAATTTAAACACATTTCAAAATGACAGGTTTTACATGTTGCTCAAACTTTTTGTGCAAAGATCTTTCCGTTTTATTCTATGCAATGTTAGGTGTTTCTTGAATTCTAATTATATGTCTAACATATTCAAATAAATATGCAATAATTATATCATTTCTTCAGTATCTATAATTGAATAAGATTTTGTTAAGGCTAAAATTAAAGTAAGTAAAATATCAAATTCATTATTGAAATCATTATTGAAATCAGCATAAAAGATAAGCAAGTAAACTTACTCCCGCACTAGAAAATTTGAGATGATAAAAATAACATTTCAATAATTTACTGTAGAAACGTTTCAATGGTCTGTAGATATAACAGATTTTTTAAGAGCTTTGCTTTGGTGGCATATTCCCGTCAACAATAAAACACTCAATTATCACTTTAATTACGTTACTGACTTGTTAGTTTTATATGGGTTATAAGATGAATGAAAGATATTTATGTGATATACTAGATATATTGTCTGTACAAAACTCAAATGATTAATAATAATCGTACTTCTAAAAGTACTAAAACGTATCAACAACTGCAAACACCTACCAAATCAATGTAATATATTTTTTTGCTTATCTACATATTTTATGAGATTGTTTTAAGATTCATAGAAATTGTTCTATTGGAAAATTATGAAATGTAATTTGAAAACATCATTTCTCGTTAGTGACATAACTTTTTAGATATTTAATGAAACATAAAACTAGTTCGTAGTTCATACTCTTTGGGTTTTGTTTTTACTTTCTTATATAATTTGTAATCATACCTAATGGATTTTCTCTTCTAATGATATGTTTGAGAAGCGCAACAACGTACCTGTTTTTGATATATGGGACATTTGGTATATAAATGGAAATGTTCGAGTTGCCAGTATACGATTTGACAGTATATAACAGAACGAGTTTTCCATAGCAACCGATGTTGCCTTTTGCGCATGCGGATTCTGCGTAGGGCAAAAACGCAATAACGATAGACTACATTTTAGGATATTTGAAGGCTTAAAAATGCGCGAGTATAAGTTATGTCACCAAGAAAACAAAAATTGACCGGTTGTGTTAACAATATCATTCAACCGGACGTTTTAGTACCATGACAATATATGTTATAAAATTTCTTAAGTTTTTATATGGACGATTTCAACAGTAATTAAATTAACTTCTTTATTTGCTAATACATGTATATTTATTCCACATTTTTACAACAATTGACATTACGCCAGGGAAGAGATTGCTCCGCCCACTTATTCACGTGACCCGGCCATTCAGAACCTTAGACAAATAACGTTAATGCGAAACTGTCATGCCAATCAAGTGACTATATATGATGAATTTACCTTATATAATTTGTTATATATAAAATTAAAATGCTTTTATTGAACAGTTCAATCGATATTTAAAAAAGTAACAAATAGCTGCACTCACGCATTAATGATGAATAAAACGTTTGGCAAAGATCTTGTTATAGTTCTCGCTGACTTCAAGGAAGATGTTACAGACAAAATATCATTTTAGTTTACAAATTCAAAGATAGTTAAAATTGATGTAGCGGAACGTATTATAGTAAAATTATATCATTTCATTTCATTTTAAATATTGGCAAATCGGCATTATAAATGCCTTTGACCATTTACAACATACTAAATACGGTCAAGACATACAGTTTACATAAAAGTTACACAAAAGACTTCACATTTATAATCTTTAAATAATAAATAAGCAGCAATTATCAAACATAAAGAAATTTTAAACTCACAAATATAACAAATCCTACGAATCAATGAAACAGTAACATTTACAAATGTGTTTGGGTTTTTATGAGCGAAATTATTTATATGTAATGCATTTGTGCATAAATTGTCAAAATTAAATGAGAAAATAGCCCTTGGGGTAACTTTGTTGTAAGATATATGATTGTATGTATATTTGTACATTAGATATTTTCGTGATAAAACGCAATATTATTCACTTCAAAATAAGTTTGTTATACCTCGGCTTTAAATCAAAACCGTGATCAGATATGATGTTATTGAAGCAAATGTATTTAAATATTTAATCTTAATTCATTGAACTTTAATAGGAATATTTAGGTAGGATAATTTCACCTAAAATATTTATTGCATATTTTCTCATTTTATTTGCAAGTACTTTTTTCTACTGCAGCATTTTATTGACACTATGTTGTAAACGAACAAATATATGTCATATCATCTGGATATATTATGTGATTATGAATAGACATAATTGTAATGAAAAAGGATTAGAGTTTTTGTTTAATATACTTTTTCCTTGTTGAATGCAATGTGGATTAGCCAGTTTTAACTTTCGTACCTGCTATATAACTTATTATCTTCATATATAGAAAGTTACTGATATTTTTGTTTTTGTAAAATGAACTAACTGACTCCATCTGTCAATATGACTGATTGTCAGGATATTTTGTAACTTAGATATACCGCTTTAATAGCTTTAAATTTACAAAAACTCAAAATAATTTCAATATAAATGCTGCTGCACCATTGTCTTTCTAAGGAAAATGGCGGACTTCTCAGACATCTTAGCGTGAAACTGATAACGACCGCCGATTGGCTAATCTGTAAGACCCTGCCAGTTTGATTGACAGACAGCATACTGTCAATTATCTCAATGTCAGGTCAGTGATCGTAAGGGGGAATTCTTGTACAATCGATTTTTCAATGCCTTCTTTGGTAATCGAGGCCACAAAGCTATAATGGTATATTTTGTGTTTCTGTTAAAAGCTTTTTATATGATTTTCTAATTTTTTTCTTAAACTAACTCGGAATTGTCTATGAATTTCTATTACATTTCTATGTAGGGCGATAAGTTTTCTGCCCTACGCACATTGTGCGTGCGCAAGAAAATACTTCTTCCGGTCAATTTCATAGCGACGGACCGCGTCGTAATAAGGTCCAAACAATTAATAAGTCTATGGAGCGATTGCGAATACATCTTAACCAATCAACGAGAGTGAGTCTGCTTGAATAGCACTCATATAGTTTTCGCTTTCAAAACATTTTGTCATAAAATTATTTTATTTGATATTCACAACTAATTTCATGTAACTAAATATAATAATAATAATAATAATAATAATAATAATAATAATTATTATTATTATTATTATAATTATTATTATTATTATTATTATTATTATTATTATAAAAGAGACATACTCTTTGTCAATCAGTTCCGTTCTGAGCATTTTATATTATATTTTAATATTATTGCACACCGTCCAAGTTCGCCATACTGACATGTTTAGATTTTGTTAATTATAAGCAGTTTCTGTAAGAGTTCAAAGTGTAAACGCTACCAAATCGTTTTTGACACCATAATCAAATATAATCTATGAACGATGATAAGTGTACAAGTGGTCTAAATCAATATTGAATATTGGTGTTTGAATATTGTTTTATAATTCTTTTAAAAATGCTGGCATTAATATTTCCATAAGTACGACAAAAATAGCTTATTATATTATTTTTGAACTTGCTAGGGAATAACAGAAAATGACAAGCTGTTTCGAAAAGTTCTACAATGTGGTTGAAGAGAAAATGGGATCTGTGTTTACAAAGTATGGGAAATTCGTTTCACGGCATCCATGGAAAGTTATCCTAGTGACTGTTCTAGTGAATGGCCTTCTTGGATTGGGAATGATCCGACTAAATGTTGTTGTAGATGTTGAACGTGTCTACACACCAATCGGAAGTCAAGCGAGTAAAGACAGCACCAAAGTAAAAAATCTATTTCCTGATTTGAGTGGTTCGAACTTTATAGGTTATCAAATGCCTGATATGGGCAAATATGCTGAAATAATAGTTATACCGAACGGAGGAAATATCCTGAATGAACGATTTCTAAAAGCATTGCGAGTTTTCCATACATTTTTACTTTCTATTGAAACAAATGATATCAATGGAAAGACTGTTAAACTAAGTGACATTTGTGCTATAAGTTTTGGAAAATGTGTAATTGACGGAGATCTTTTTGTTGACAATCAATTCATTAATATTCTAAATACAAGTAATGCAATTTCTTTTCCGTATTTTAATCACACTGTAAGAGGGCCCATTTACTACGAGCAGAATGTTGGTGGTGCAATTGTCAACTCCTCCCAGCTTCAATTAGCCAGTATGCTTTTATTGAGAGTAAATCTCAGAACTGATTCGTCGTACTTTACTGAAACAGCTAAAAAATGGCAAAAGAATTTTGTTTCAAAGATGAAAGTCTATTCTTCAAGTGACTTTAATATCGCCTTTGCCCATTCCGAGTCTTTGAGTGAAGAACTTAATGAAAACGTTATGGGTGATATCACAGTATTTTCAATAACATTTACTTTAATGATAACCTATGCCTGTGTAGCAACACTAACAGCTCGTTGTGATGTTGTCGGCCAAAGGTCAAACTTGGGTTTCGCAGGAGTAGTAGCCGCTGGCTTAGCTATCGTAGCAGCATTTGGATTATGCAGTGCATGTGGAGTCGAATTTGTCAGTATTGTTGGGGTTATTCCATTTTTAATTATAGGTAATTTTATATACAGAGCAACTAATTTAACTTAAAGCCTATTTATGATATATTTTTAATTTTCCATAATTTTCCATTTACGAATTTCATTTGTCGTTCTTAAGTTGTGTTGCATACGTAATATATTTAAAAACAAATGACTATTACAGTGGTGATTGACCAATAATAGATAATGCAAAATATTTATGATACAATATCAAAACATCCTGAGTTAAAAACGACTGCCAACTCTTTGTAAGAATTGAATGTAACGATACATTCTAAATTTTATTTATACATGTATAAAAATCCGTTGGCACGTGGAATATTGATGTTTTCATAGTAATACGTGAAACTGTACGCAACTATTTCAAAATGTCAACTAATTTTGCTTTAATTTATCCGTTCACTGACCATTTTCTCTTGGTTTGTTTACTGTTACTGTTACTATGTCTTGTGCTATAGTTAAAACTATTGAAAGGTAAATAATGTAAAAACATAAATACTTAAAAAGAAAGAAACAAACACAATGAATACATTTAAAACCATTTTAGCCATTAAACTTCCTCCTTGATAATACATATCAGTTTGATAAACTATTTCCATTGATATTTTGTTTTAAATCGAACAAACATTTTAATTTTGGTTTCTAGTGTCTGATATTAATTAATTCATCTATTATTGATATTGTTTAATTCCAGTGAAATTAAAATAAAATAAAATTGAAGTATTTATTTTCATAATCAGGTATAGGAGTAGACGATATGTTCATGTTGATTTCCGGAATCACAAACACGGACTATTCATCATCTACCGAAGATCGTATTGGTGAAACTATGAAAACGAGTGGTATATCAATCACAATTACTTCTCTGACAGACCTGTTGGCATTTGCAGCTGGGGCGTCTTCTGTATTTTTAAGCGTGCGGAACTTTTGTATTTATGCCGGTGAGCCTTTTATCAAAGACATATATCATAATAATATTAAATCATTATAGGTAACAAATGATATTGCATCGCAAATATGATATTTCATATTGAGTTTTTAATTGACAGTTGTAAAAAAAATATCTGCACATTTAATTTATGTAGGAATTCCAAACGATATCCCGGAATTCCTCAGATCTCTATAATGTTTGCTTACAAGTTTTAATAAAGAAGATATTGTTATGAAATTTGAAACTAATCTTTTACTAGAAGAGTATTCTTTTAGGATGGTAAATCTGGACAATATTTCTAAGCTGGTTAAAATGTTTATGTTAACTTTTACTCATTTTTGTTGTAAAACAATTGAGTCATTAACAGTCCAGAATATTGGCACAGCTCAGTTATTTTTAGATTATGAGCATACCTCATTCCAAATTTGGAAAGGTCGCGCAGACAAAGGTCGCGCGACACTAAAGGTCGCGCAATAGGAAAGGTCGTGCAGAATCAGCTTTCCCAGGCATGCTAGTTCCAAATATGGAGAGGTCGCGCAATAAGAGGTCGCGCAGTCTAAAAGTACAAGGTTTAAGTTATTTTTAGCCCTTCAGCATCTCAATTGTTGTTAACAAAGCATAATTTGGTCATATCAGATTTTATGAATGGGATTCCTTACTCACAGCTTTATCTATGTACAGGTTACTTGGTTCAAATGTTGAGCTGTATGTTGTAAAGCTGGAGAGATTATATTTCTGTTGCTTAATGAATTATCAGTCAGTATTATAAGTTTATAGAAATGTCAATCAGTAGTAAGTGTATTAATCTTATAAGCCATATATAGTACATATATCTTTATTAATACAAGTATATTTTGCACTACTAAGATGCATTATTGGACAGATAATAATTATCCTATTGAGTGTTCAAACATGTAAATTTATATAACTATTATGTATTTTTGTACTAATGTTTGTATTGTACAACAGTCTGTATACCTGAACCAGTTGCAGGCCATTTTGAACATTGTTAAGGCATTGTCAGCATTTTAAAAGGTCGCGCAACATTCAGGTCGCGCAATGAGTTGTGTGCAAAACTGGAGAGGTCGCGCAATAAGAGGTCGCGCAACAGTCTACTTTTGCACACCACCCTAGCTGCGCAAACAGAAGGGTATATAAGCTGGGAACTTTTCTAGCTGGGTGAGTTTTTGGAGTTTTGGAGTTTTTGAGGAGTTTTGGAGTGAGTTGGAGTTGGTTGAGTTGAGTTAGTTAGTAATTGCAGAAATGTATTTGTTGAAGTTGTTAAGGATTTTACTTTGGTTTTGACTGTTGATAGAGAATAAAATGATGCATTATTTTGATTTACTGCAATAAATATAATCCTGCTTTCACTTGGACTTGACTTGTTCATTATACCAGCATAGAGAAATGGTTTACTTTTAAGCGAAAAAAAGTGAATAAACAAAGGTTTTCACAAAAGTGAAAAGATTTCGTAACACTGGTGGTAGCGGTGGGATAAAGACTTTAACATGCTTCAGCATAGGGATAAAGACTTTGATTTTTTCTACTTTTGAGTGTAATGGACTTACAAAAAAATGGAAAAGGAATTAGAATCATTGCGTCAGACTGTTTCTTTGTGCTGTTTAGAAATAGGAAACATCTCCAAAGAACTAGTTAGTCATAGTGAAAATCTAACAAGTGCTTTTAGTGATTTTTGTAACAAAGTGAATGAAATTTTAGAAATGAAAAATAATGAAATCAGTGAATTAAAATCATATAATGCAAAATTACGTGCTTCTATGTTAGACGATGACACTCAGGTTTTAGAAGAAAGTCAGTAATATGGGACCTAAGAAATCTGCTAGATCTGCATCAGCATCACGTCTTGAAAATTCAGAACTTACAATGGATTTACGTCAACAACTTTCCAGAAAAATTGATGAAAATGATGATTTACAAGCTAATTTAACTAATGCATTGGCAAATATTGAGAAATTAAATGAAACTGTCAAAATTTTACAAACTGAAAAAGCTGGATTACAAGAAATTATAGAAAGTGAAAATGAACAATTTCAAAGAGATAAGGAAAATTTAAACAGTCTATATCATACAACTCAGATAAATAGAGACAGACAAATCCAAGTATTGTCAAATGAAGTTGATGAATTACAAAATATTTTACAATCAAGAGATGTTGAACTTAGTCGCCTGCAGAACATTGCATTACGAGAAAGTAACCAAAGAAATTCTAGGATTATAATGTTCACTAACCAATCAGGTTCTTTTGATGGTAAAACATCATACACCGCATTCATACGTCAATTTGCTGTGTTGGCCGAGACATGCCAATGGAGTGATAAAGAGAGGGGCATTTCGCTTGCTGAATAGTCTGAGGGATGATGCAGCAGAGTTTGTATTCAACCAGGTCAGTCCTGAAACTCAACAATCTTACAAACAGCTTGAGGCAATGTCTAGCAGCAAGATTTGTAGAAAGACGTTCTACTGCCTCTTATCTGATGGAGCTCGAAAATGTCAAGCTTCACTCAAGGGAAAAACTCGTGGAGTATGTTGCAGATATAAAGCGTCTTGTTCGAAAGGGCTACCCAACTGCAGATGATCATACTATTGGTACAATTTGTTTACGGCATTTTATTAGAGGTCTGGGTGACTCCCAGATGGCTCTGGCTATAGGGATGAAGGATCCGACCAGTATCGAAAATGCTCGTGAGATTCTGGAGACGTACTATAGTTTGAAGGACGAAACAAAGGCCAACACCAAAGTTCGAATGGTTCGACAAGGGAACAACAATGTTTTTCTCAGAGCAGTTTTTGTCTTTCAAGAAAGAAATAGATAAAAAATTTGATGAGATTTCTGTCTGTCATTAAAAAAGCAAGATATGCAGCCAGAAAAATTCAAAAGAAGGGATTTATCTACTGTTGAGTGTTACAAAGTGTCCATAATTTAGGTCATTATGCACGTGATTGCACGAGTCAGCAGAGTGATAAAAATAAAGCGGAAAACTAGTGTGGACTAAGGCAGACGGCTTGCGTTAGTCCAAAAAATCATAGTGAAAAAGTGATAAAAATTCATTTTAAATGATACCTGCAATGGATTATCTTTGTTATTACCTGTGAAATTGGTGATATCAGAGCAAATTTAGTAGTAGATACTGGAGCAGTTTTTACTATTGTTTTTTCTAATATTTATCATAGTGGGCCTTCAGATATTCGTCCATCACTGGAGAAAATTGATCCAAATTTTAAGCTTGAAGTTGCAAATGAAGGGTATCTCCCTATTTTAGGTAAAACTGTGATGAGTTTTAAAATTCATAAGGATATATTTAATGTTCATGTTTTATTGCACCAATTCAAGAAGATGGTCTTTTAGGTCTTGATTTTCTACAAAGAAAATAATTTTGTGTTAAGTGCAGAAAATGGTTTGCGTCTAAATGGAAAGAAGTATCCTACGTTGATGGAATCTTCAGTTTTCAAAGTGATGCGTGTCAAAAAGTTCAAAGTCAGTCATTGTACCAGCAAATAGTGAGTGATAATAGAAGGAAGTTGTTCTGGCGGCAAAATTGATACCGAGTTTGGAATTGTTACGCCATTAAAAGGGTGATGATAGTGAAAATAGCTTAATTGTTGGCATACGCTGGTCAACCCTCATTCTAAAAATGGTTGTGTTCCAATTCGTTTAATGAATATTAGCAATGAAAATGTAAAAATTTGAAGCTAATACTACTCTTGGATATATTGAGAATGCTGAAAAAGTTAGTTTTTTTTGTGAGAAAAAATGAGTGTTTTGTTAATGAAAGTGTGACTCAAAGCTTCCATCCTCATTTAAATGAGCTTTATGAAAATTCAGTGAAAAATCTTAATTATGATCAAAGAGTGAAACTTAAGAATCTTTTGATTAAGCATTCAAATGTGTTTGCAAAGTCACCAAATGATTTAGGTCGTACATCTGTAATAAAGCACAACATCAATACTGGGGCAGCAAAGCTATTAAGCAACGCCCTAGGCGCCCACCAAAAGCTTTCGCAAATGAAGAAGAGAAATAATTAAAGATCAGTTAGCGGCCAATGTTATTCAGGAAAGTAATTCTCCTTGGGCGTCACCATTAGTATATGTCAGGAAACGTGATGGAACAACACGACCTTGTGTGGATTATCGTCAGCTTAACAAACGTAACAGAAAAAGATGCATACCCCTTACCTAATATTAAGTGATTGTTTGGAAAGTTTAGGGGGATCATCATATTTTTCGTGCTTGGATATTTTGTCAGCCTATTATCAGATTGAAGTTGATGAGGCTGATCGACCAAAGACACCTTCACTACAAAATTCGGTTTATTGAATATTTGGTAATGCCGTTTGGATTATGTAATGCACCGTCAACCTTCCATACGATGTATGGAATTAGTAATGAGAGGTCTTCAGTGGGAAACTTTTGCTGATATACCTTGACGATTTGATCATTTTTGGCCGCACATTTGAAGAACATTTAGATAGGCTTTGAGAATTCAGTTTTAACGCGTTTGTGTGAGTGTGGAATGAAACTGAAAGCCAAGCAAATGTTTTTCTGTTAAAACTGAAGTGTCATTCTTAGGACATGTAGTTAGTAAGGAGGGAATAAGCCCTCAAAAGTCTAAAGTTAGTTGTATTGCAAATTGGGAAAGGCCGTTTACGATTTAACAACTCTGCAATCCTTTCTTGGTTTTTGTTCATACTACAGGATATATATTCGTGATTTTTCCACAAGAGCTAGGCCATTAAATAGGTTGTTGGAGGCCGGACAACATTTGAATGGTCTGATGAATGTCAGAAAAGTTTCGACGATTTACGCAGTGCATTGACTGGTGATGAAGTCATGGCATACCCTCAAGATGATGGATTATTCATACTTGATTGCGATGCGTCGAATTTCGGTATAGGAGGAGTTTTTGTTCACAAATGCAGTTTAGTGAAAAACTTGGACAGTGTATCGAGAAGCCAATAGCATATGCGAGCAAAAGCTTGAATAAGGCTCAAAGACGCTATTGTGTAACACGTCGGGAAACTGTTGGCAGTTGTTACATTTGTTACTATGTTTAAACAGTATTTGTTAGGACGTTCGTTCTTAGTAAGAACGTGATCATTCTTCATTAAGATGGATTATGTCCTTCAAAGAACCAGAAAATCAGATGGCTAGATGGCTTGAAGTGCTATCACAATATGACTTTAAGCTAGAGCATCGCAAGGGAACTAAGCATGCAAATTGCTGACTTTTTGTCGAGGATTCCGTGTGACCCTTGTTCGTGTACTTGTTATAGTGGTCACTCTATTCTAAGTGAGCTTCCGTGTGGAGGTTGTAAAGAATGTGTGAAAAAGCATGAACAGTGGTCGGAACTTGCAGATTTTGATGATGTGGTTCCACTGGTGTCTAAGAAAGTCAAGCGAGTCAAAGGAAAAGGTGTTCCTGCCGACTTAGTTAGGGACTGTTCGCATCAGTGCTGAATTTTCTGTTTGGTTTTTGCGTTGTATCTGGGAGCGTTTATTCTCAGGCAAATTGAACAGAAATTTCGTGGTTGTGAGAAATTTGTTTCTGTGAGAAGACTTAGGGCACCGAAAGAGAAAAGTGCGCCTAAGTCTGGTGCTGCGGATAACATTGATTTAAGTGATGCACACAAAGAGAAGGATATGGCACAGACATCACATGCAGGGGGTTGTACCCAAATGGTGACATTTCTTCTGAAAAGTGTATTAGTTCTCAAATTGGGTAGGTTTCGTATACCACAAGCTGAACTTATAAAAAATGCAGAAAGTGAATCACACTAAATGTAGGCGAAATATCAGGAAAAAGAACGTTTGAAAAGAAAATTGACAAATTAACACAAGAAGTAAGATAAAAAACATTATTATTACAGGAAGAAATAAACAATAGTGGCAGCTAGTTTCAAGACTATCAAAGAAATTTAACTTCGCACATTCAAAAAGAAATTAACATATTAAACAGAAAAAAACAAGCAATTAGTGACTTTCTAAAATGTCTTACTGACTTAACAAAAGTGTGTTGGAAGATTGTGAATTAAATTGAAGAGACAGGGAAAACTGATTTTATCTAATTGAACAGTAGAATACTTATGTTTATATTTCATCAAAAAAATCTGTAATGCTTAAATTTGTTAAGCTTGTTTAGTTTTGCTTATGTTTTAATCTGCATAATATCATATAACACTTAGTAGATTTTTCACATGTTATTGTTTAGTACCATATTATTCTTTTTCTTATTATTTGATTTTTATTTCAATTTCACTCTAACAAGAGTTTTCCAAGGTTTTGCTTCAATTTAAAAACTTAACATGTGTAAATTAATTGGTTTTGCTTCCGGAGTAAAGCAAAGTCCAAAGGTGGGAGAGTGTTATGAAAAATTTGAAACTAAATCTTTTACTAGAAGAGTAACTTCTTTTAGGATGGTAAATTGGACAATATTTCTAAGCTGGTTAAAATGTTTATGTTAATTTTTACTCATTTTTTGTTGTAAAACAATTGAGTCATTAACAGTCCAGAATATTGGCACAGCTCAGTTATTTTTAGATTATGAGCATACCTCATTTTCCAAATTTTGGAAGGTCGCGCAGACAAAGGTCGCGCGACACTAAAGGTCGCGCATAGGAAAGGTGCGAGGAATCATGCTTCCCAGGCATGCTAGTTCAAATAGGAGAGGTCGCGCAGAAGAGGTGCGAGTCTAAAAGTAAAGGTTTAAGTTATTTTTAGCCCTTAGCATCTCAATGTTGTTACAAGCATAATATGGTCATATCAGATTTTATGATGGGTTCTTCTCACAGCTTTATTATTACAGGTTACTTGTTCAAATGTTGAGCTGTATGGTTGTAAAGCTGGAGAGATATTTTTTCTGTTGCTATAATGAATATCCAGTCAGTATTATAAAGTTTTATAGAAATGTCAATCAGTAGTAATGTATTCAATCTTAGTAAGCCATATATAGTACATATATCTTTATTAATACAAGTATATTTTGCAACTACTAAGATGCATTATTGGACAGATAATAATTATCCTATTGAGTGTTTCAAACATGTAAATTTATATAACTATTATGTTATTTTTGTACTAATGTTTGTATTGTACAACAGTCTGTATACCTGAACCAGTTGCAGGCCATTTTGAACATTGTTTAAGGCATTGTCAGCATTTTAAAAGGTCGCGCAACATTCAGGTCGCGCAATGAGTTGTGTTGCAAAACTGGAGAGGTCGCGCAATAAGAGGTCGCGCAACAGTCTACTTTTGCACACCACCACCCTAGCTGCGGCAAACAGAAGGGTAGTATAAGCTGGGACTTTTTGCTAGCTGGGTTAGTTTTTGGGAGTTTTTGGGAGTTTTTGAGGAGTTTTGGAGTGAGTTGGTAGTTGGTTGAGTTTGAGTTAGTTAGTAATTGCAGAAATGTATTTGTTGAAGTTTGTTAAGGATTTTACTTTGGTTTTGACTGTTGATAGAGAATAAAATGATGCATTATTTTGATTTACTGCAATAAATATAATCCTGCTTTCACTTGGACTTGACTTGTTCATTTTACCAGCATAGAGAAATGGTTTACTTTTAAGCGAAAAGAGTGAATAAACAAAGCTTTTCACAAAAGTGAAGAGTTTTCGTAACAATATATAGGTTAGAGGAATAAGTTAGTATTACTAATGATTTTGTCAGTATTTCTGTTTTTATAGGGGGATGTCATTCATATACAAAATATGCACTTCACTGACAAACTGTGTTAAAACACTATGATATGATATTTTTATAGATTGAACATAATGTTTTAACAACATTTTTAATAAACAACTTAAATAAGTTGATCTAATATTAAAACCAGTTCATTTTAAAACTGCCATTGTAAAATAATTTTTACTTACTGCAATTATTGTAATTGTTTATATTTGAAGGTGTTGCTGTTATTTTCTGCTATATAAATCAAGCGACCATCTTTATTGCTAGTATAGTCATCAACGAAAACAGAACAAACAACAACCGGCACTTTTTGACATGCATGAGAGTAAACAGTCCTGATAAAGACAGCACAAAAGAAACTTCTTGCAAAATCGTTTGTTGTACAGGCAGAAAACCAAACAATTCGAAAGAATCTGAGAGCTTTTTAGATAAATTTCCCGGCTGGATTTTACCAAAAATAATATCGATCCCAGTTAAAATTACAATTCTTATTTTGTTTGCTATCTATTTATCAGTATCTATTTGGGGTATAACTCTCATGAAGGAGGGGCTAGAAATGCGAAATCTTGTATCACAAACGTCATACTATTATGAATATAGAAAACTACTAGATGAAAATTTCCACTAGGAACACCTGTTTCCCTCCTTATTGTTTTTAACAAACGGCTTTGAAGTATTCTGACTTAAAACGTGCAGCAAAAAGTAAACGATATATTGTCTTTAGTGAAATCAGAGCAGACAGTTCTTGATTCTGTAGAGGTAAACTGGCTTTCAGAATATAAAGCTGACAAAATCAAATTTTTAAATGCCTCGTCAGAAATTGAGTTTATTAAAGGTTTTCAAGGTTTCTGAATAATAGTAGTAATACGCGTTTTCGCAATGACGTTGTCATCGACAAGAATAATATCTCTATCGTTGCGTCTCGTGTCCATGTTATGTCGAAAAGCATTAAAGACTCCCAGGCCCAAGGAAAGTTTTATTGGAACGTATGAGGGAGCTGTCATCAGACCGAACAGACCTGCCAGTCTTTGCCTTTTCACCAGCCTTTCTGTTTTACGAACAATATGTCGTAAATTTTTAACTCAAACAATTCAGACACTTGGTATAGCTGTTGCTATATGGTTTTCTTCATAACATTCATATTCATGCCACACCCACTACTTCTTTTGTACATCACACAACAACTGTTGCCATGATCACTGTTGGAATTTTGCATCTCTTCCGTTTTAGATTTGACTCTAAGTTCTATAACAATGATCCATATCATTATGAGTATTGGCTTCTCCGTTGACTTTGCGGCTCACATATGTCATGGTTATATGATATAGGAAGGCCCTGATAGGAACGAACGCATGAAATCTTGGCTTGAAAAAGGTCAGGAACTCCAATATTTCATGGAGCTATTTCTTCTATTTTAGGAGTAATTCGTTTTGGCAGCCGCAAAGTCTCTATATATTCTTTTCGTTCTTCAAAGTCATGATTGTTGTTATTACTGTTGAGAATTATGCATGCCCTTTTTCTACTACCTGTGATACTTTCTCTCATGGACCCTCCAATTTCGAACGCAACGGTTTCCCCAAAAAATGAAACGCGTTCTCCTACTGATAATCATAAATGGCAGGGACATTGCTTTAGCAAGTAACGTACATATACCGCGTGCACATACTGGCAGGATTACAGAGAGGGAGAAAATAACGTGATTTATTTACACATTTTACTAAAATATTTTAAAGGTATTACTGTGTAGTATGAGACATGAAGAGAACCATAATATACACGTACATCTAGTGAACTCTATAATACGCATTCGTTTGTTATATTTATTGTACATTATTGTGTTTGAAAAAGATATCGAAAGAAAATGAATATTTTTGAACAACCTTTTCTATATTGTATGAAATTGATACGTTTTTGTATGATATTCTTACGTAAACTTTTGTGTGTCATTTTTCATTTTCTATTTTACCTCATTATACATTTTGTAACGCCAACATGTACGTAAAATTATGTGATAGTTGTATTTGCAATGGCCTTAACGTTGTTTTCTCAGATTATTTTTCAAACATGCATTGTCCATAAATGCAGGACTATTTAATATAGTGACTTTGGTGTGCCTTTATTTCTTCACGTTAAAATAAAATATTTAAACTTAGAATAATGTTTTGCAGTATGTGCTTTCTTTGAATTAATGCGTGTCACACAATAGAATAGAGAAAACAGAATCCCTAAAGAAAGCCCAACACGGCAAAATAGAAACTGTTGCAGGCTCGGTTTAATTGAGCCTGTTCATGGACGGTACTGGAAAATACAAAAATGGTGAAATTTTGAATTTAGAAACATCCGCAGATGTGTTCATACGGCGGTTATCATGGAACCTTCAATGTGACACAGTAGTGTCATTCCATGAAAAGCGGCGTATGGTCCCCAAGTAAAAGAATGCGTGTGCCCTAAACGAGAAAACAATGGGCAGAACTAAAAAAAATGGAACTTTGAAAGGGGATCTGAGGTTATGAAGCCTGCATATCACAGATAAGACGTCAAAAAACAATTTAAAAAGCAGCAACATATCCTTGTTTTGATAATTTGTAGTTCATTTTGTGCTTTGAAACGACATATATTTAGCACTTTGCTTATGTTTGTTGATTTGGTGGTCATATCAGACATATAAAGCACATATTTTTAAGACAGATAATCAGGTAATTTCTTTATACAAAGTATGTCAGGAAGGCATATGAACCACAGACTAATATACTTCTAACTGAAAACAAAATACCAATATTTTCTACAAATGCATCTTTCTCGGTTCCATTCCCCTCATACTTTCTAGCAAAGAGCTCAAGGACCGGGAAATAATATGACGGGGTATTTAGTGAAGTAATGAGGATAATTATTATAATAAAAACTTTACGGTCAGCATGAAACTATCTCTTATGTCACTCTAAACATTTTTGAAAGGACAAAATTGGAGGAAATAATAAGGCAAATGGATAGGTTCATTTTTCAAATACATTTTGACACAATCCTTAATTTTTATCAAACGCGTTTGATATATATTGCAGTGATTTCGAAAACGTGTTTTTAATCTTCTAGGTAAAACGATCAATCGTTAAATACATGAGGTTGGCGTTTCAATTTTGCCGTGTTGGGCTTTCTTTAGGGATTCCGTATTATCTATTTTATGATCACATCCGTGTTATTTGTGCCGTGTGGCGGCTGTAAAAAGTCTCCCCGTACATTTAATCAATGATGTTATATTTTCGATCCTTGAAGATCGTTCAGCACGACATTATTGTTGTGCTTGTGGTATTTTTAGTTTCAACTTTTCGGCATTTTTTAGTTGGGTGGTTCCAATATCTCTACTTGAAAAATGTTGAATCACCCTTAGGATATGTTGCCTGCTTTTTAAATTTGTCTTTTGACGTCTTATCTGTGATACGCAGGCTTCATAACCTCTGATCCCCTTTCAAAATTCCATTTTATTTAGTTCCGCCCATTGTTTTCTCGTTTAGGGCACACGCTTTTTATTACTTGGGGACCATACGCCGCTTTTCATGGAATGGCACGGCACTGTCACATTGAAGGTTCCATGATAACCGCCGTATGAACACATCTGTGGATGTTTCTAAATTCAAAATTTACTATTTCATGTTTAAATGTTGAATTCTGCTTAAGCCGGTGCTAGGGGGCGTGGACGGTAACTTGCACTTTCCATTACCGTCCATGAACAGGCTCCACAAACCGAGCCTGCAACATTTTCAATTTTGCCGTGTTGGGCTTTCTTTAGGGATTATCTATTTTATTTGCTAAAGATTGCTATGATTCACATTATGACTGAGTAAAAAGAGTTTCCTTATCATATTTTTGATAAAAATGAAAGACATAGCATGTCATCTGAATTTCAAATATAGCAAATAGAGGCGACCCTAGTCTTCTTCTTCAAATACAGACCTAAATATAATCGTAGACTGGAATGTCTTTGTATTGATCGAGATTAAAAGAAATGAATTAAAGAATGAGAATATTTATGAATAAAATGCGGATTTAAATCGTATTGGTAATAACATACAATAAGTTGAACGTAATATATTAGAAAATTGTTTCTATGGAAGTATGAAACTGATCTTTACCTTTAATATCATTAAAGTAACGATGATTTCGATTAGATGGCCAAACTAGATGTTTCACTTTTAGGACTTGAGTTATAAAACATATTGAACACTCCTTAATAATTCCAATTATTTTTTAAAAATCATTATGTCCACTTAGTTGATGGTAATGTGAATGAAGAATACTATGCATGGTATGGGCAAATCTTTTTTTTTCAAACTGGCCTAAGGGAGAAATTTGACTTTCCAACACTGCAAAATGTATTTATTGTGATAGTTATACCATTAATGCAGTCATGTAGCTATTGTAGAATATTACTGTTTTTATCATATAAATGTATCAGATCATATTAGTTATAAATCCATAACCTGACAACCACGCGATAGATAACAAGTGTTTTGTTTTTGTATTTTAAAACGAAATTGAAAGTATTCAACCTTTACATCTTTGGGAAGAAATATCAAAAATGGAATATTAATCTATTTAAAAATAATAAAATTTTAAACAGGTAGTCAGTCATTATTACAGAAAGATATGATAATGATGATGGTGATTGAAAATGATGATTATGACGATGATTTAACACGATGATGATGCTAATGATGATGACGATGATGATGATGATGACGACGACGATGATGATGATGATATTGATAATGATGATGATGATAATGATGATGACATTGATGATATTGATGATGACGATGATTGATTTGTAACATATTATTTTTCAGATGACAAACTTGGTTAATTTACGTTTGATGTATTCGCGTTCGCAATCGGCATCTTGATTTAACCATATTTGAAACATTAATGAAATGTTATATGCCTATATGGTATTTTAAGCCTCCTCACGTATTTATTTTGGGTTAATTACGTAAAAATACCAAACTGTTAGGTGACGTAAAATATCAACAAGCATTATATTTCAGTATTTTAAAATACATAATTGTTTAGTATAGTAAGCCTAGTCAAGACGACTATACATGCGTGAACACTCTAATCCTTTGAATAAAGATGTATTATTTCATTGAAATCATATTATATCTACACGATAACCTACCATGAAAAGATAATAGATATGTTAAAAGAGTATAATAGATAAAAATGTAGTATTATAGCATGTAATAACAAACAAATGATGACAAAATATCCTGACTATGCTTTTTTCTTTGTAACTCGTCCGGTATCATGTTAACATATGGTTTCATATTTTAAACATATTCTTGAATTGTATCAGTGATCTTAAATATCAATAACAAGAAATATATAAAGTGTCACACGCCAGACGGAAGTCATATCTCTTTTATTTTAGTATTACAATTAGTATGCAATAATATGCTTTATTTTCTCCTTTTTATATATATCATTTTTATAAAATGTCATATTTATTTCAGTAATTAACTCTAAACATGCCAAGATTTATGCACCTGCATGGTTTAGAATTAGATCATCTATCTTAATTAAAATACTAGTAAACTTAAATAAACGCAAGTGTCATTTTAAGCTTTATTATCTTTC